GTTTCGCGCAGTAAGATTGCGACAGGTGAAACGATGGAAAAGCCACGTGGGAAAGCCAAAGCGAAAGCCGATGCGGCAGCCAAGACCAAACCCAAAGCAAAAGTGCCAAAAACATCCAAAGGCCTATGCCTGTGGATTGTAGTTGTCTTTAGTGTCGCAGCAGTGTGGTATTGGTCTGCATTAGCTAGGTTGTGGTCCAGGAAAAGAGAAGCCCTCTCTTGAACCAGCTCGCCAAGGACTGCATTGAAACAAATGCGATGCGGCATCAGTGCAAGCAAAACTTGTTTCGAAGCGATTTGAAGGGCTCGGTCAATGCATGCAGAATGCAGACAGAATGCATAAGCCTGCCTCATGTGCAGATCGCAGCGCCAAGATGGATGCGACAGTTGCGACGGAGGTGGTCACCGAGCGTCCCAGGCCGCTCGGAAGTCGGCAACCAGAATTCGCAAGAGACAAAGACGTTGAAGAGTGTTAAGTTGTTCTCTTCCAAGTGTGTTTACACTGTGGCTCCGTGTTTCTCAACTGGCAACTCTGTCTCAAGGCCCATGCTCATCAGGACCAGAGACACATCGCTTGAGGCATTCTGGGTCTCGAATGCATGCGACCATGAGACACAACTCAATTCACAAAAGGATACACGCGGGTGTCGTCAGGATCGGAAGCCTGTGGATCTCTGGGTCCGGAACCGGGAGGCAAGGTCTGATAGAGTGGAAACAGCGACGGTAGCATGGCTTGCGCTAGTGGGTGTGTACTTGCCTTGAGTTCATTCACTTGGCCAGGCCACGATACCCGATTCCATCTTCGTGAACTTGAGGCCTGTACTGTCGACGTCGTAGAAATTTGATACATACATATAGAACCTGTATATATATATACACATGTATGTATGTATGTATGTATGTATGTATGTATGTATGTATGTATGTATGTATGTATGTATGTATGTATGTATGTATGTATGTGTGTGTGTGTATGTATGTGTGTGTATGTATGTATGTATGTATGTATGTATGTATGTATGTATGTATGTATGTATGTATGTATGTATGTATGTATGTATGTATGTATGTATGTATGTATGTATGTATGTATGTATGTATATGGTGCATTGTCGCCTGTCAGAACCCCTCCCCTCCCGCCCAATGGAACCCCCCCCTCCCCACCCCACCCAAAACCCATCAAAACCCTCACCCTCACGCAAAGCCTACCCTATACCTTCTACCCTACAGTACACCCTAAGACCCTAAGCCCTAAAATCTTGAAACCCCAATACCCTAACACCTGCAACCCTGACCATGAAATCCTTAAAGCCCTGTGCAAAACACAAAAACCTTGAAAACCCCAACGAAGAAACCCTGCAACTCCTAAACCCTACAACCCTAAATCCTAAATCCCCCCCACAGGGGCAGGGTGGGGGGTGGCGGGGGGCAGTGACGCTGCACCATCTACATATATGCACATATCTATACATCTGCACGCTCTCCCTGCCCTATGCTTCCACCCAGGCCATCATCTTCGACTGAAGCCCTTGCAGGCAAGATCGAGGATGACGTGTTGTTTGACGGAGAGGCATGGCCTGAGCAGATATCCTCCCACGACTTGCATCCCGGTCAAATTCTAGACTTCTGGCATACTCTGGCGAAGGTTAAGCTGCAAGTCTATCATTTGGCAAAGGCTGCCTGGCGCTCACAGCCTAGTGACGCCTCGGATGTGCGTGGAGGAACCGCACGGAGCCAGCAATTTACAATTTACGCCCCAATTCGGAAGGTCAAGGCCATCGGGCTTCCCATTTACCACACTGGTGTCGAGGCACTTTCACGTGGGATGATGGGCCTCCCATGGCCTCCCAGCATCTTTTTTTGTTTCATGTCGTGGAATGTTGACGCGCTTCCAAACGTTGCCAGCTTCGGCACATACGGCACTTCCAGATTCCGTGTGTGGCACGTGCAGGTGTATGGTGTGGAACACTACTACTGTGTGAACGGTGTGGAATCGTGCTGGCCACGAGGCCATCTTTGGCCTTGTCGAAGGTATGGTCCGCACAGTTGCTACTAGATCTGTTTCCAAGTCGCCATTCTTCCGCGACTCTTGATGCGCTGTTGTGCTAGATGGGCGAGTAAATGTCTCCATAATTCTCTAGTCACAGCAGCTGGCGGCTTGGTTCAGTCCCGGGACGCGGGCTCCATGTGCCAAGCAAAATTCATTGGGAAGCTGACGCAGCATAACATCTCATTCAAACGATACGATGATGCAGATGGAACCATGTTGGAAAAGCGTGTTTGGCAGAGCTTGATCGGCCAGTCACTGAGTAGCAATGGACATCCATACCGGGCACCGTGCATGGTGTTTGCTTGCCTTCGTGCTTGCCTGTGCGGGACAGAACTCCATCAGCACGTTTCAGATGCTGTGACACACGCGCAAAGCTAGAAGGTCGCGCATCAACCCAGCACAAACTGCTCCTGCCAAGCAAGGGTTGTTTCGTTTTCGCTTGCGTTCCTTCCCAGATGGTCATCACCTCCCAGTTTGATGTGCTGGAAACATGCGCGGATGACGGTTTGAAGATGTTTGAAGCATCGAAGCTGGTGCCTTTTGTTTTTGCTGTTTTCCTTAGATGTCCCTCGGAAACTTCTATCCTTTGCCACTTTTTTGGCATAGAACTGGCAGAGCCTTTGCTTCAACTATTTTCAACTGAGAATAAGGAGGAAAACCCCCTGTATCCCCTGTTGAGCTCAACTGAAAGAAGCATGGAACTCAAGGAGAAATCCGAAGACTCCAGTGTGTCTCCTGAGCTTCCATGGTTCTGTCATGACGCGAAAGCAGCATGGAAGTCCAGAGTTTCCCCTTGATATCCATCCGAAGTTCACGGTTCGGGGAGTTTGCAAGTTGGTGCCACATATTTAAGTTGTTGCGTGGGGACATTTCTGCTCGTCGCATCGGGGCTTCCACCATTTGTGCCTGCTCTCCCTTATGCTCGACAGCGCCTTGATGTCAATGTCGGCTGTGATGGTGTACTTCTTAGCCTCGTTCAGCTCTTCCAGCAGCCAGCGCTTGGCACTTGTCTGACCTTGTTCCCTGAGGCTCGAGCAGTATCTGCAACGTGTTGTACACCCGGAAGCAGAGCCATGAGAACTCTGAAGGTACTTGAATCCATGGCATGGATTGCCTATGGCTGCCTTATTCTTCTTCTTGTCCTCATCTGATGTGTCTCCACGGGAGCCTCGCTTTAATCGCTTTGGGTCACACGTCCGTCATAGGTATGATAAGCGTCAAGAAAATTCTTGAATAAATTCACATTGGAGAGTGAGATAGGTCCCTCTGGTCCCCTGGGCAGACTATTTTTGATGTCTATCAAGTTTTTCTAAATATGTTTCAGATTTCATCCATGCCACACGCCCTGTTACCATCTGTGCTGGATGGAACCTCGCTCTCACACTGGGTCTTCTGCCCTGCGGAAGGATGGAAGGATGGCAGGAAGGACGGAAGGTGGCTGGGTTAGTTGTAGCTTTAACTTTGCCCAAGTTAGAACTTCCTTTGCGCTCTCTTGCGTGCTTGTAACTGTTTCTGTCTCTGGGCTCCCGCCCAACCCGAGGCTCTCAGGGCCACCTCTCAAGCAAATCAGTCCTGGCGGCCCTGGCGCTTGTACTAGAAGCCTTTGAAGCTCTACGATGCTGCGCGGCTGGGAAGCCTGCAATGTCCAGGAAGGTCAGAAGCCAAGAAGGACGTAGCAAACCAACAGTCCTAGGTAATGAAGCCCAAACCTGGAACGAGATGTTGGGTGTGGCAAACCCTACATACACTAAGACTAAGCCTCAAAGGTGATATGGTGATAAGACAGGTGTTGATGGGGGGTTTTGGGCGGCAAAGCTAAACGGGGATTTTGCGTGGCAAGCCCCAAACCTTACAAGGTGGCGTCGTGGCGGGACAGGTGTCGGGTGGACTCAACAAGGGAGGTTGGGTGGCAAACCCTAAATCCTAAAAGGAGTTGTTGGGTGGCAAGCCCTCAGCAATAAAAGATGTTGGGTAGAAAGCACTCAGCCCTCAAAGGGCACGTCGGATTGCAGGCAGACGTATCTTGACAAGGACTTGACAAGGTCACATTGAATAACATCTCATCTCAGCGGATGAACAGCATTCATTGATGGGTACCCATCTCCTTTTAGTGGGATTTGAGCAAGTCCTTCCTTCTTTCTCTTGAGCCTGTCACTCCTCCTTGGCTTCCTTCCATCCTTCCTGTTCGTCCTTCCTTGCCTTCCTTCCAGCTAGCAACCTTAGTTGTAACTTTGTTTGCTTACTTGCAATTCCTAGGTTTTATCATCGGAACTAGATAAATGTTAGGGCCATGTGGTTCATCCCTTGAAAGGGTTGCCAAACATTTTGCTCAGTTGCAACTTTGTTTGGGGCTTATCCATGAAGCGGCAGGGTGTCCAGGGTATCCCAGGTTTGCAACGGATTCCCGAGCTGTTCTGAAATAGACTGGTTTAGGGTGTGGGGTTGTAAGTGGTGCAAAGGTTGTGTGGCGTTGGACAAGCCCTGCGATCTCGCGCTTGCTGGCCTTCCCCTTTTCGGGTTAGGCAGCCCATTTTGATTCATGGAATTACGTAACCTGTGGAGTGAAGGATGTGTCAGTGGGCCTCTTCAGCTGACGTTGTCTTCCTCTCCAGAAGTTTCATGCTCGAGTCCTGGGGAGGTTCAGGTGAGTCGATGGACTGGCCCTTTGCTGGGTCCCTTGTGCTTCTTGGGGCTTCAGTGGGAACCTCGTGGAATAGTGTGCAGCGGGCGCCTTTGAGCCCCTGCGTGTGCCACTGCGAGTGCACTTCAGAGGATCGACCTGTTCAGAGCTGGGCATTGTCCAACTGGATTATCATTTCCCTTTCGTTGATCATCCTTGTTCTTTCGGGCTTCTGTTGGTGGAGATTGTCAACTGGGGCTGCATTTGAGAGCAAGGGCAAGGGCAAGGGCAAGCGAGGGATCTTAGGAGGCCAGGCAGCCCTCACGCTGACATGATCAATGAGGGAGATATCGTATTTGTCGACTACGGTGAAGTTCCACAGGTCGTGCACTGTCGCTTGGTCGCAGGGCATGTGCAAAATGACATTTATGTGATCGTCACGCCGGATCACGATGTTTATGAAGAGCAGCTCTCGAATCTTAACCCCGACCTAGTGGGCTACTTCTATGGAGGACCGGGTCTCGGCGCGCATCCACCGGCTGGAGTCAATCCTGCTAGAGTGTATGGATTTGGACCCATGACTGCCATAGAATATCAAAGGCTTATGTTGCAGGGGCGGACTTATGCCAATGGGTTGAGGACCGCTTTGGGGCTCCCAGTGCTTGGGGCTCCGGCAGCTCCAGCTGCTCCAGCGGGTGCTCCGGCTCCTGCTGCTCCGCCTACAGCTTGGGTGGCGATTGAAAGTCGCGGTGCCATGCAGAGGGGCAGTGTGGTGTTTGCAGAGGGTCAGCCTCTGCCTCCTGGGGCAGTTCAGCTTGGAGACCGAGCCATCATTCCGGATGCCTCGGGACACTCAATCTGTTTGAAGCGAATCCTTGTGACGCAGGTCGGCTCCATGGAAAGCAAGGACCTCCGCACATTGGACCCCATCTTTGATTCGCAAGGCAGCCGGCGAGCAGAATTTGCAGACGCTGTGGCCAAGATGTCTCAAGAATTCATGCCTGGAGGAGGACTCCAGCTGGACGGGCCAGCCTCATGCCTTGGCGTGCTCAAAGGAATGGTTGCTCGGGGCCTGACTCCGGTTACGGACCATGAGAGGTGGGTTCTCACCAATGATATCTCCAAGGGCGACCGGTCTATCTATGAGATGGAGGTGATCACCCGGGTGATGGAGGCCTTCATCATGATTGACCAGCTGAACGTGCCGAACCTGGTGGGGACAGAACTGCTCATGCGTCGCTGGCAGGTGATCCGTGAGGCGCATCGTATATCGCCGGGAGCCCCCGACTACAGTGCGGCAGACATTGTGATGGGGTGGTCGTACAGGCGTGGCGATGGCATGCGCCAACCACTGGCGAAGTATGTGGCGGAGGAACTCAAGGACCAGGCTGCAATAGCCAAAGAAGCGAGGAAGGCCAAGGAAGAAATGGCTGCTCGGTCAAAAAGCCGGACGGGCCCCAAGGGGGGGGGATCCGGCGGGACAGGAGCGTGAACTTCGCTGAGGGGGTACTGGACAGCCACGAGCTGGTGCCCTCCTTCATTTTTCCTTTCGTGGCGCACAGCCTCTCTTCGTAAAGGGAGGTCTTCCTTTTTGAAGTTCTCTTCGGCATGCTTGGCGATGGTCGGTGGCGAGATCTCTTACCTCTGCCCCTCTTCAGGCCTGCCTCCCCAGGAAGTCAACAGGATTCAGGGGGTAAAAATTTTGAGTCTGTGAGTTCTAAGCGAAACCGCGTTCGAAGGGAGGACAATGTTTCCAAAGTCAATGAGGTGATCCATGCTGTTAATGAGATGGCAGGCTTCACTGCCCCTTCGAAGAAACCTGCGCTCAAGGCGCAGTGTGCAGCACAGACAGTTTTGATGAGGTCAGTGGCTAGCCTTCCTAGATGTGCCGAAAGACCTCGTATGCGTGAGGCTATTCATGAGCTTCTGCGCTTGAGCCCTTCTTCAGAGTACATGTCCGAAGAAGTGGTACGAAGCACAGTTCACCCATATGACCCTTGCCTTGTTTCTCTTCCTGAATGTGGTGCCGCTCCATGTGATGCCACTGAATTGATTGATGAGCGAGGCCGAGACGTCTTGGAGCGGTTTGAGGACACGATGATAGCGTCGGATGAGGCGTTGGGGAGTTTGTTTGAGTCGCAGAAACATATCAAACCAGATCTTGATGAGGTGTTTCAGAAAGAGCCTTCCAAGTACATTGCCTTCATTAAAGACCTGTACGAGCGGGGGATGATCGAATTTCGGGAGCATGCGAAGTCCATCATCACGCCTTTCTTCGTCACAAAGAAGAATGGGAAGCTGAGGTTGGTTTTGGACTGCCGTGCCTCAAACCAACACTTCACCCCTCCGCCAGACATCGCGCTGGCAGCGGGCTACACTTTTGGCCAGCTGGAGGTGGGAGCCAATGAAGTGATGTACACAGCTCAAAGTGATGTCAAGGACTACTTCTACTCTATAGGTCTACCGCGGGGGTTACGAGGATATTTTTGTATGCCGTCTATTCCCATTGAAGATGCAAAGGAGCTCTGTGATTTAAGCGGTTTTGGCGAAGTAGACCGAGTCTATCCTTGCATGCAAGTGGTTCCTATGGGTTGGTCATGGGCTATGTGGCTGGCCCAACGAGTGCACCAGCATCAGGCATGCATTGCGCTTGATATCTCGCCCGCTCAGGTGCTGGCTGATGGTCGCCCGCCTCCTTCAATGAGCTCAGGCGAGCCCGTGATCATCCCATACGCCGATAACCTCAATGTTTGTGGCATTGACAGTCAAAGAGTGCAATCAGCAAAAGATAAAGTGGTACAGCAGCTTCAATCTGTCGGCTTTCGGGTGCATGAGGAAGAGGATGCGAGTGCTGTGGTGCAGGCCTTGGGCTTCATCCTTGATGGACAGAAAGGTGAGGTTCGGCCGATTCCTCGAAAGAGGGACAAACTCAGATTAGTGCTGCTGTGGCTGTCCACCCGTCCCAAAATCACTGGCAGAGCACTGGAGAGAGTCATTGGGCATTCCATTCATATGTTCATGCTTAGGCGCGAGTTGCTTTCCGTCTTCAGGGCGGTGTACGATTTCAAAGTTGCACACTACAAAAAGCCAGTGAGACTGTGGGCATCTGCGGCAAAGGAATGCAAGTGGGCTGCGGCTTTGCTTTTAGTATGTAAGAGCGACTTGAGGTTGCCGTGGTGTGGTGACATCACAGTTTCCGATGCCTGCTTGACTGGTACAGCCGTGGCAACGTTGCATTCAGATCCCAGCACTGCTAGGAGTGTCGGTCAATGCCGTGAAATGTGGAGGTTTAAATCGAGGGACCCATTGAGCCGTGCAAGAGATGCAGTGCTGAAGTTAGATCCGTTCGCTGATGTCTCATCCGTGAAGCCTTTGACGACGGAAAAGCAGGACCCCTTTCAGATCAATGCTGAGTTTCAACATGTTCCAGAGAGTCTTGCCTGCTCGGACAAGTGGGTGACGCAGTTTGCAACCCGCATGCAATATTCGGAACATATCACTTTGCTCGAGGGGAGGGGGTCTCTTCAAGCTATTCGTCACAAATTGCGAACTGCTCGTAACTTTGGGTTGAAGCATCTGCACTTGGGGGACAACCTGGGCATGACCTTAGCCTATGACCGTGGGCGTGCGAAATCTATTCCATTATTGATGTGTTGTAGGAGAGCAGCGGCTTACAGCGTGGCTGCAAATTGCACCTTCACACATAGATGGTTGCCGTCAGAGTGGAGTGCCGCAGATGGTCCGTCTAGGAGATGGGAGTCGCAAGCCCCAAAGGTCAAGAGCAAGCGCATGTGCAAGAAAGTCCGTGAAGGCCTCTGCTACCCCGAAAGCAAAGGTCAGGGCATCCAACACCAGGTCCGGCAGTTCATCGTCGGGGCTTTTAGCGCACCTGAAGAAGGACATCCCTCCGCGGCGCACCAAGGCAGCGCCTTCGAAGAAAGAGCTGAGGCAGTCCATCCAAGGGAAGGACGAAGCGACCAGGGCATGCAAACGCAAGGCCTTGGCAGAGAACAAGGTTATTGGTGAGTCGTGCTTCTGGACAGACGCTGCTGGAAGCGGCAGCGGTGGCGCCCCGGACTGGAGAGGAGTATCAGCACAAGCTGAGATTGTTCCAGTCATTCTGCCGTGTCCAGAAGTTGAAGCTGCAAAGGCCGAAAAGCATCGACCACGCATTGAACTTGTTCCTCAACCAGTCCTTCCTCGAAGGTTGGTCCGTGGCAGAGGGCAACAAATGTCTGGCGGCAGTGATGGACTGGCGGCCAGATGTCTCCAAACACCAGCTACCTCGCAGCCGTCGGTCTCTGCAAGGATGGAAGAATTTAGACCCGGGCGCGACACGCCCGCCGATCGCATGGCCTCTTATAGCACTGATCGCGCTGCAGATGGTCGAGTCAGGCCACTTAGTGGAGGCTGTGGCTGTCCTACTGATGTTCGTGATCTATGCCCGGCCTGGGGAAATTTTTTCCATCCGCAGAATGGACTTGGTTGGCAGTCTGGCGTTGGGGATGGATTGGGCCATCAACTTGCACCCGGCAGAGGAGTTGGAGGCGTCGAAAGTCAACGTGACGAACGAAACCATCCTGCTCAACAGCCAGGAGGTGCCATGGTTGGGCCCAGTGTTGGCATGCCTGTCACATCTACCCGAGGGGCCTCTCTTCGCAAGCACTTACCAGAATGTGCAACAGGCATGGATGGCAGCTCAACAAACTTTGGGTCTGAAGGTCAAGGCCGTCTTGCACCAATTGCGCCATTCCGGCGCAAGTTGGGATCGGTACAAGAACTACAGGGACACTCTGGAAGTCAAACTTCGGGGGCGATGGCAGGCGGACAGCAGCGTTCGCCGATACGAACAACACGCTCAAGTCGGGCAAGCCTTCGAAAAGCTGCCTCGCACCCTCCAGACAAGAGCGTTGGCGGCGCCAAAGATCCTCCGTGCCAAGGTCCTTGGCTTATGCGGCCTTGCAAAATAAGACAGCGCGGCAAGATCCTGGAGCTCTTCTCTGGAAGTGCTGCCCTGTCGAGGAGTTTCTTCAGACACGGTTTTTGTGTTGAAGCATGGGGCATTGAGTACAACTCTTTGTGCGATCTAAGCAATACTCAAACGCTGCACGGCTTAATCCTCCGCATCAAGTCGCGGGAGTTTGACTTTGTTCATCTTGGGACGCCTTGTACCTCATGGAGCCTGGCCAGACGCGACGATGGACGTGGTCCAGGCGCCGTGAGGGACAGTGACCAGTTCCTCTACGGTCTACCACACCTCAAGCCCAAGGACCAGGCCACTGTGACCTTAGGCAACCTCCTGCTTGAGGTCTCGCGTGCAGTGTTTGAGGCTTGCATGGACAGTGGTGTGGCAATGTCGCTGGAGAACCCGGCATCTAGCCGGCTCTGGCTGACCAGAGAAATCCAGCAACTGTTGCAGCGCGGTGCTTCGTTTCAACACACCACTGCCTGTTCTTGGGGTACGCCTTGGAGAAAAGCTACATCTTTCTTGACGTCGGGGTGCCCAAACTTCCAGTTTCCCTTTTGCGGCGGCCCCTTTCGCAAGTGTCAGTTCTCTGGACACAGGCACGCTCCGTTAACGGGAAAGAATTCGGCTGGGCAGTGGAACACCAAGATGGCTCAACCGTATCCACCGCGCATGTGCCGTGCCATAGTGCGGGCTTTTCTCGCAAGACAGCAGACTACGAGGTCGGATGTGGGGACAAGATGATGATGTGGACTGGCGTTTTTCTCTTTCAGCTCCGATGACGTCGCTTTCAAGTTCCTGCTCTTAAACCCTGGCTGCTCCAAGCACGCATGTGTCACCCAGGCTTCAACAGACTTCGAGCGCAGCAGGCGCATCGGCAAAAGGCTGGCAGCGGGCTTCAAGGCCCTGGGAGACACATGGAATTACGTAACCTGTGGAGTGAAGGATGTGTCAGTGGGCCTCTTCAGCTGACGTTGTCTTCCTCTCCAGAAGTTTCATGCTCGCCTCCATCCAGCCCCGCCACCTCGACAAGATGATGATGTGGACTGGCGTTTTTCTCTTTCAGCTCCGATGACGTCGCTTTCAAGTTCCTGCTCTTAAACCCTGGCTGCTCCAAGCACGCATGTGTCACCCAGGCTTCAACAGACTTCGAGCGCAGCAGGCGCATCGGCAAAAGGCTGGCAGCGGGCTTCAAGGCCCTTTCCTGTTCGTCCTTCCTTGCCTTCCTTCCAGCTAGCAACCTTAGTTGTAACTTTGTTTGCTTACTTGCAATTCCTAGGTTTTATCATCGGAACTAGATAAATGTTAGGGCCATGTGGTTCATCCCTTGAAAGGGTTGCCAAACATTTTGCTCAGTTGCAACTTTGTTTGGGGCTTATCCATGAAGCGGCAGGGTGTCCAGGGTATCCCAGGTTTGCAACGGATTCCCGAGCTGTTCTGAAATAGACTGGTTTAGGGTGTGGGGTTGTAAGTGGTGCAAAGGTTGTGTGGCGTTGGACAAGCCCTGCGATCTCGCGCTTGCTGGCCTTCCCCTTTTCGGGTTAGGCAGCCCATTTTGATTCACTATTTTGGGTGGTTTGTGCGAACTGCCTGATGAAACAGAGGAAACTCCTTCCTCTCTACTAGAGGATGGAAGTTGCTTGGCAACTCAACTAGCTAGCTCACTTTTCATCTTCTGCGCCTAGCGAAACATGTTTTCAGGTTTTGCTTTCATGCCTGGCCACATCGTGTTAGGGTCCCAAACCATGTGCACAGAAGTATGAAGTTGCCGAGACCTACGTCCCAAGCACCTCAACCTTGCACCCTGTTCATCCCTGTTCGCTCTCCCCCAACCGCTGCGATAGGTCGCGTGCAGCGTGAATTGCAAGTATTGCATGTTGACCTTGACTTAACAGATCCCTTACGGAGTCGAACGAGCTTTGGTACGCAAGAGCGAGACAAAAGGTATCGGATAGGCAGTTGTCTTTTTGCAAGTGTCAGGTGCCCCAAAACTGCATGAACGCTGCAATCATCCATGTAAGCGACGTCGGATCGCAGGGTATGGACAAGGAGTTCACAAGTCAGCGGTGCCCCTTGGCCAGACCAAACTCAACAGCAACCGCGTGGAACAGGCTGGCCCTCTGCCTGTTTCTCGTGTTTGCAGGTGCGTTTGCATATGCATCATATGCACAAGACCGTCTGACAGTTGATTAAGAAGATGAAGCCCAAATGGCCGGGCCAGGAGTGTCATTTTGGAGTTTCTTTCAAGAATCCTCAACATTGATTCCAGTTGATTCCTCTCCATTCAGGACTACAAGCTGCTTAGCCACAATTGCCAAACCTTTGCCGTCGAGCTGGTATCTTTGCTGCTGCCGGGAGTTGTCGTTCCAAGCGAATATTGCTGGCTTCTCAGCTGTTGCCATTGTTCCCTATCGTTGTGCCCCTTGCACTGGTGCATGTGGCTATCTCGCTTAGGTCGCTTTGCCGGTGCCAAGCCGCAGGCCAAGCAAGCAAGCAAGCCAGTGCGCCTCCTCTGCACTTACAGGCAAGCCTAAATGCACAGCTCACGCTAGTCAAGCATTTCTGTGGCAAGTGCAGTGATGTTTCTTTGACTCGACCTCTTGGGCTAGCTGCAAGTTTCAACTCCAGGTTGCTTGCCAGACATTATTGAGCTTTCCCGACTGGCGACTACATCCCAAAAAGTCCTTGATAGGGAATGTTCATGAATGCTCCATGGCACAGGCAACAAGCGAGCCTGCACTCCGATGATGATCGATGCTGTTCTGTCTCGGCTCAATCTCAGTTCAGGCAGCCTTAGCAACAATGCCGTAGCGTGAGTTCCACCGGCAGCAGTGCAGGCCGCAGCAGAGCAGAGTTGTTCCAGACCATGCTTCTGCCCCGAAAGCTGTGCTCGCGAGGGTCAACTGGCTGCAGTCAATAGAAGACCTTGGCTGCCATGACGAAGGCGAGCGCAAAGTCTTCATTCAGGTTCTGTTCCATGACATGTTCGTCCAAACTGCAAGTGCATAAACACTCAGGGCGGGCATGTCTGTTCACGCCGCTCTTTTGAATGCCAGAAATGCTGAAACAACAAGCTGCTTTTGCCAGCAGAGTTTGGAAGCCCCACACGTAAAGGTATGGAACATGCAGGTGGGCTTTGAATAGTTCCCTACTCCAAGTAGTTTGCTCGATGATTTGTGTGTTTTGCTGCTTTTACATCTTACTGTCAGGCAGACGGGGATATGAGCGACATATCCAGGCCTGCTGGCGCCTTACGATAGAGGTCCAGTGTGCCAGCCGTGTGTATGCCAGTGCCTGCAAAGTGTCGGACCTCGAAGCGCGAGGTTAAGCAGGCGCATCAAGTCCTCAGAAGCGCCGCAACTTGCCCAGATTTGCCAATTGCGCTGCTGCTTTACGGGTCGCTTGGGCTTGCTGCAGAAAGCATGTCTTCGCTGAGGCCATTTCCAACTCCACACGCATGGTGGAGAGACATGCGCTCAAGGAGGTGCCGATATGTGGGTACATCCTCCTTGTCGTGCGTGCTCCTGCTGCCCTTTTGCTAAGGTCATTGAAGACACCAACAGACGGTTTTGGGGGTGTGCATATCTGAGTATTCCTCGCCAATCCGACACAAAACTTGCTAAAAGCCGCAGGTTGTGACATGGTCACCGGATGTGCGTGTGCAGCGCGTCCAATGGCTTCAGTGAAACAACTGCCTGCCATTGGCTAAGGTGTGATGCTTCCAATCACGCTTGCCTTCTTCGGCTTCTATTCTTTGTCTTCCATCCTGCATGAGGACTTCGGAGCTTTGCTAAGGTTGGCGCTTTGTGCTGTTTTGTCGAGAGACATGCGCTGCTGAGTGGACAGTTCGTTAGGATATACCATCCAAGCACATCACAGAGTTCCCTGTGCGAAATGTCCTAAACCCGCTCTTGGTCTGAGACCCATACACTATCGACAAGCTTTTGGTTTGCTGGCATTGCTTCTTGCTGGACTTGGCTGTAGCTATGTCGGCGAACTGAGGGCGAAGATGATGAAGCCACGTCGGACATGTTGCATGCCCAGATTTGGGCAAGCGCAGCTGGTAGGATGTTCCGTGCGTGGTGACATGAGCTCACATGAGGCTAGATGGTTTGACGACATCATCGGATGTGTTAGAGCCTTGGTACAGCCTCGGCTGATGGTAGCCAGCAGGTGTGTCTTAGAGAACCGCAAGGTGGAAGTATCTTGAGACCGTGTTCATTCCGTTCTTTCTCCGTGACACCGACATCTATGGTCGCCAACTTCCGCAGGAATGAGACATGTTTCGTGTGTTTCTCGATCGGAGCTCTAAAGGTTGACGATGCGAGCCGCAAAACATGGCTCAAGACCGAGTCTTTCTTGACTTGACAGGAAAAGAGAGGCACATTCCTGCAGTACAACCAGGCCTTCGAAGTTATTTCTGCTGTGTCGATTCTGAAAGTCTGAAACGTTTGGGAGGTGCTGGGCGGCATCATCATGAGCCTTGAACGTGGATATCGTCAGCGGTGTGAGGAGCTGTCCACGCATTCCACGCCGAACTAGTCTGCTTGTGTGTGTGTGTGTGTGCAACCTTGTGCAGACAAGTGCACCAGCAGGCATGACATGTAGGTAGCTCAGGCTAGTTAGCTCCTTGACAGAGCTCGCCGCCAGAATGCCTGAACTTGTGTCTGGGATGCCTTCCAGCCCTCGTTGCAACTATGCATGCCAGTCGTGTGCTTGCGGCTGTGTGTGCGAGGGCGGTTGCAAGCTCTGGGATAAGGAAACTTAACATCCGATGAGCTCGCACGGCAAATCAAGACTCCTGCCATTCTTTCGGGCTGGACATATGACTGGACAGGACCCGCTCGTGGAGCACTTGACATGTTTTCCTCAGGAGCCCGGAGATTTGCAGAGAACCCAGTGTGGAGTAAGCCGAATCAGTCGAATCGGTCAGTGACGTTCCGTGAGAGGACACGCTCAACGCGGATCAGTTCGGAGAGGGCCTCTGGATGCCTGGTGACTTCGTTTGTCGGAAGAGCTCTGCTTTCTCCCAGGTGGCAACATCTCTGATCTCTACGAGCCTGGGAAGAATGCTTCATACTGGTATGGCACGTGGGTTCCCAAGCTCATAACAAGGCCTTTGTCAAGCTTTCGGCAGTTGCGAGCCTCGAGAGCGTTAAAGGAACGAGTCTCTTCTAGAATGCCCAGATGAAGGCCCGTGAGTGTGCCAGATCATTCGCCAGAATGCTTTGGACTGCTTTGTTCAGACAATTTTTGGGAATTGGGCCGGCAGGATGCGTGCCAGGAATGCACCTGAGTCGTTAAGTCGATTCGAATAGAATTCACAGTTGTTGCGATGTGCGCTTTGCAGGCATGAGCGACAAGACACATGACGACTGTCAGGGCCATGCCGTTGGAGCTGCCTCCCCTTGATAGCACAAAAAACAACATCACAATGTCTTCAAACGTCTGTACTTCCTCCCAAACTTGGCAGCCTCAACTGGCCATGATCTACTGTTAATCTGTTCGAAAACATTGAGAGCTGGAATCCCAATGTCGCTAGGCGATTGTTGGGGCAGAAAGGGGATCATCAACCGTTGCTCGCGGATGTCGGGGAGTGGACAGCTGACGCACCTCACAGCTTCCCAATGGGTAGGCTTTGTCATCCCGGACTGTGCATCGAACATCTCCAATACCACGGCAAGGCGCCGGCGAACACGAGTGACATCATGCAACGTAAATTAAAACACGCTACCAGTTTGACAGTGCTCCAGATATGCTATTAACTGCCAGTACAGGGCCAAGAAGGGTTTTTCAGGCTTCACATTGAGCGTGGGTGTGCTGGCTCACTGGAGGGCCCTCGGTAGATCCATGTTATCAGTGGTGCCAACTCTTGCAACATTTGCAATACGTTGCCGGTTGGGAACGTTGAGGTGCGAGTGTCTCCACAGGAGTCGGTTGACCACACGGCACAGCACCCTTGCATTGCAGGCCAGCGCGATCCATCAACATTTGGACTTTGGATCGGCGACTTGCCCCTTTGGGCCAGGCCTGCAAAGTTGGGAGTGTACGGGGTGGACCGGGGTGAATGTGGCAATGGACTGATTCGTCAGGAGCTGGCTGCATCGATGCCGGTGGAACAGACACAGGTCACGTGCTCGGCGTGTACAGTAGATTTCAGCCTTGCCTGCCAAGCTGATCCAAGTTACGTGGTCTTTCAAAGTCTTACACACTACATGCGACTCCACAGGCAGTTTCCAGCCATGTAGTTCTTACACTGCCATGTGCCAGCTTTCCCTCATTCTGGATGGTGAGAAGTCCTTCAAGCTGGAAGCTTATATAGCCAATGCGTTGGCCTGTTTGTCTCCAGTTTGTCTTCAGTTTGTCTTGCCAAGTGTCACGAAATCGGCATTGTTCGGTCAGGTTCACCTTGCGCGCAAGGGATCCTCTCGAAAAGAATGTGTTGCGTTCTTACTGCATAGCTGATTGGCCGAAGCCTCACGCGATTCACCAGTGCGTGCGTTTGCAAGGAAGCGATTCCAGTACTTGAAGGCCAGCAGCATGCCAACGTGGATCTTGCCGGGTGGTGACTGAACATCATCAGCTCCTCGGGAAAGGACAGAGGATGGATAGATGAGCAGACTTTATCGCTGGACGTCAAGGCGCATGGGTTTCACAGTATTTTCACAGTGGTTCTGTGAACTCCCCCTACGTCGCAGAAGGCTTGCAGACTGCAAGATGCCGAAAACCGTTTTGTGCTTCAGACATCACTGTGACATCACTAGAACTTGTATAACTTGTGCTGTAGAGGTGCTTTTTTGGAAATGGTCGTGGTCAGTACCCCTGCCTTCATAGCACAGAACCCGAGCGGAAGGTGGTGGCCTTCAACTACCAGCTTGCTCAAAGCTTGGGAATTCTTTGGCGTGCTTGCGTCAACAGCAGTTGTGTCAAGCAAGAGAGTCTCTGGGGCGATGTTTCTGAGGCCATCCCTCGACTGCTGAAAGTTCAGTTCAAGTTCTATTTTAGCTTCGCTCCCACTTCGCTTTTAAGCTTTCTAGTGCTCAGGAAGCAACAGACGTTATCGTAGGGCATTGCGTCTCTACCTCTCAGCGATCAAGGTCGGGGAGGAGGAGTGTATACCAAGCAGAAGATCGAGGCGCGAGCAGGCTGCTGTTGCGTTTGGCCCGATGCCTGCCGAGTAGCAAGGTTGCAACTCTGAAAACATGGCCGCGACACAACCGCGCCCTGCTCCTCTTTGTGGACATTGTCTTCTTGTGCATGTGCGGCTAGGCTATGACAGATATCGTCTTGGGAATTGGGATCTGCGCATATGCCATGTTCCCTTCATTGTCCCTGTCGTCCGATTCTAGGTTTGGCTTCCACGGCCTTCATGGTTCTCGGCTCAGAATGGGGCATGTGACTGCATGTTGGCTGTGCTTTGTGCCGGTATGGAGAAAACTAGCCATACAACTTGAGGCCCGCGAGTTCTCAAAGGACATGAAGGCGACAGCCCGAAGCATCCAAGCGTGAGTTCCGGTTTCAACCTGTGTTGTCAGAAGCTGGTTCATGGCGCAGGCGGGAAAGATCTTTGGGCACTTCAACCTGATCAATTCCATTACTTGGCTGAGTTGTTTGTTTGGCTTCGCCCTTGGACTGGTTGAAAGCCATGCAAGCCAATCGTCGGAACGAAAGTTAGTTCCTTGGAGCTTGCGAGAGTTGTCGTTTACAACCTTTCTCTTTAGTGTTCAGGTGGGTCAACAAGCGACCCGACCGCTAACTGGTACGAAAATCGATTAGTTAATGGGCTGCGGGGTGGCCCCCCCCCACTTAAAGATTGATTCTACTAATCTTTGCCCCCGCCCCCCACCCCTCATTTAGGGTTGCCTGAATTGATTTCAGGGGAGGGGGGGGCCTTCCCAGCCCCTTCAGGCCCCTATTTCGATGTGTCAAGAACTCGAACGAGCATATGAATCCGCAACGCTCCGGAAAGCTTTTTCTGCTAACCTTGCGCTTCCCATGATGACAGAGTACTCATGTTTATGATCGGATGCGATCGTTCAAATCGGAAAACACACACTTCCTTCCCCATCGCTGACCAGATAGCAGACCATGTGTGGCATCTTCGGTTTTGGGGTTGCTTGCGCTGTCCGGCGTTTGTCTAGAGCTTTCGCAGCCCAAATCTCAAGTCTTGAAGGGTATGCGAGTCAGGTATAGTCAGGTCGTTTTCTGCCAGGAGCACATCATAACGTTCAAGCCGAAAACCTGTAAGACCACATTCTTCAGACTTGAATCGCTCTGCTCTGCCAAGCTGCACTATACGGCCACACGCTTGAGAAAGGTAAGCGTCCTGAAGCCTGAAAAACAGAAAGCACTGTAGCAAACATGCACCCAGGTGCAGCACATCGTTGGTGTGAGCATGTCAGACAGCAGCGACTTATACAGAACAATCGAAAACACATACAAGTCTAAGATGTATGGTATGGATGTTGAGATCTGCGTCTACATTTGGTTCAAACACCTTTCGCAGAGAACCAGCCTGTAAGCGCGGTGCGTAGGGGTTGGGTGTGCAATCGAAAAAAGAGCTCGAAGCAATTGTGCTTTGCAAGCCTTCCCGGACCTGGCCGAAACCCTAAACTTGGGCCAAGCTCTTTGGGATGTCATAAAGTCACAACATGGGGCTTGGGAAGCTGGAAGACCTCCTTGACAGTACGTGCAAGAGGTATCAAAGGGCATGTGTAGCCGTGCCCCCACAGCTGGCCTCCTCGCGTGGCCATGGTTTCGGATGCTTGCACCCTCAACTCGAAAGTCTTTTTCCCTAGTTCTCGTTTTTTTTTTTTTTTTTTTTTTAATTTAGGTTCAAAACGTGAGAGAGCGATACTGTGCGAATGGCGCGGGGATGAAAAAGGAAGCGGGATGAAAACCAAACGGGAATGAGAACGAATCGGGGATGAGGGATGAAAACGAAACGGGGATGAACGAAATGGGGATGAAAAGGAAACCGGGGATGGAGTGGGGATAACAACCACAGGTTTGAAACGAAATGGGGGTGAAAACGCGACGGGGATGGCGCCCGCGGGGATGAACGAAACGGGGATGAAAACGAAACGTGGATAATAGCGAAACGGGGATGAAAACGCAACGCAGACGCGGAGATCAAAACGACGGGGATGAAAACAAAATAGGGAGCGTCTGGGATTGCGTGTGCAGAGGGGCTGTGCTCCGGGTGCGAGAGCGCGTCTGCGCCGCGTCTGCGGCACGGGAAGCTAAGGGATTTTCATTGAGTCGTAGTACAAATGTAAAACTGGAAACGCTGTGTGCGTGAGCCGGGAGGACAGCCGGAGGGGCGCGAGAACGTGTCTGCGGCGAGTCAATGGCACGGGAAGCCAGGCATCTTCGCTGACTTGTAGTACAAATGTAGTACTGGACTCGCTGCGTCTGTGAGCCGGACAACAGATCGAGCCGGAGGGGCGCGAGAGCGCGTCTGCGGCGCGTCTGCGGCGCGTCTGCGGAACATCATTGGCGCGGGGATGGCACGGGAAGCCAGGATAATTTTCGTTGAATTGTTTTGTACACATGTGGTAGCTGGAATCGATGTGTCCGTGAAGACAGAGCCGGAGGGGATCACGCGGGATTGAGATGGTGTTTTCGTGTCAAGTGCTGTATACAATCAACTACCCTGCGTCACCATGTTAATTATATCTTGTTATACTCTTCTAGAAAATGTGCATACGGAGCGGACTTTAATGTGGGGATTTCATTCCGGCACTCTTGTAATTCGGATTGTTTTTGGGTAGCTGTTAAACATTAATGCCGAGCTCAGTTGTTTTCGTTCTTGTTGTATAGCTACAAGTTTCAGCAGCAACAACACAACACATTCATTTTCGGCGGCAGGGTTCCGAAGTCTTTGTCAGCACCGTCCGCTGCAATGTTTTGCAGTGAGTTCCAATGGTTGTGGTTTGCTTGGACAGGTTTTCTTGAGTCAAAAGAAGTTATGACTCGCTGACAGTCACGGTTTGGAGAGGTGGCTTCGCAGCCGACCCCTCAGCCCTGAGCGAACAAAGAGCACATCGACAAACCCAATCAACCGAGCGAATGCCAGCACTCAAATCACAAAGAGTTCGACAATGTGGCACAACAGGCCATTCGCTCTCTAGGGTTCTCCGTCACCATCACGAGCTTTTCGATTCGTTCGGGTCCGCATAGGGTGCGATTTGCCAAAAATTTGAGAATCAACGCAGTATAAACACCTGGTATCTCCTCCTCAGGGTATTGTGTTAAAGCACCAGGCCAGGCTTCTATAGCTGTTTCATGGTTCATTTTGCTAATTTTAAGTAGTTGTTTAACTGTAAGAACTCGCTTTCCACGTGATATATTCACAGCTTCCAAGTAAGAAGCAGCTTCGGATTTTGAATGCAGGCCTAGAGAAGGGCTTCTGCGTCGGGTTCCAGGTTTCTCAGTTTGGTTTCGTCTCGTTCTTCCATCGGAGTGCTCATATCAAACAAGTTCCCAAAGCGTCTTTCTCTCGAGTCGTTTTCTGCATGATCCTTGTTGCCTTTCGGGGTTTCGTAATCATGCTGACGCAAAGGCAAGTTTTCTTTTGAGATTTGCCTGGCGGTACCACTGATCTGTTGAGACGATTGCCGTTTCTACATGCATCTGAAACCGGGCATGGACAAAGCAACGGCTGTCGTCCAAGGTTGGGCCCATCTGGGCATGCTGTTCGGGCTGGCGCCTTCCCAAGCTATTCCAGTGCAGCCGAGCTTTAGGCCCTGTAGGCATCACGCCCAACCGATACTGTTTGCATCTGTTTGTCAAGGAAGTGTACCGAAAAATGGTGATGGCCAGTATCGAGGCCGCATGATCTGTTGTATGTACAGGCAACAATGCAGGTGCAGCGTGTTTGCAGGACTACTTTGACTACCTGGATACCCCGAGCACGTTGGTCTGGGCCTCAGCACGGCAAGACGCATCGGGCACGTTCTTTGACATCTGCGCTTCCTTTAGTTCTCGAAGCGACACATGTGACGCTCGTCTCGAGGACCCCTTGTCTGACACTCTCCCGAGCGACCAGTCCATCCACCCCCACCCAATAAAAGTCAAGTACCACTCACCCCACCGATCCTTGAACCGTAGCTGTTAGTTCTCACGCAAGCCTGAAAATTGCCCAAAAGCCTACGAAACCTGAGAAGTGAGCCTGAGAGGGCATTAGCCCGGGCCGTGCACCCGAGAGGTTGGAACGGTGACCAGGTAGGCACCATGTGAGGACCATATGTGAGGGCCATGCCACGCTCATTCTGCACAGGGCCGACATTGGCCCTGACAGGGTGTCATCATGGAGTGGAGCGTAAATCGGAACACGGGGGCCCCAATCAACCCAACGTGAATCCGAAAACGGGCAGGCTCCAATCGGAGAACCCCAGGCTGCGATCCGGAGCCAAATGGACGCCGGGGGGGCCGAATCAGGGAACACGAGGCTCAAACCTGACCCATACTAGGCGTATTTAAGAGACCGGGAGCCAACTTGACGCAGGGCAGGGCTGAACTTGAAAACGCGAGGCTCCAACATGACGCGTGCTAGGCGCCTTCGAAAACTATGTTCACAGTCGTAAATCTGCTTTCCCCTCCAACCCTTAGCCTGAAACCGGTGAAACTCTGAAGCTTTTACGACAAAGCGCGACTCGAAACCGTAGGCCCCTACTACCCTCACAATAGACCCACCCTATCAGGAAAGCCATAGACCCCTATGCCTTATCGATCTATATTCATATGTAAATGGTTTTTCGGGCTTTGGGTTTTTTAGGGTTTATGGGGTTTAGGCGTTGTTAGGGCTTAGGTTTTTTTAGGGTTTAGGGCTCAATTTTTTTTGGTTTAGGGTTTAGGGGTTTAGGGTATAGGTATAGGTTTAAGGGTTTTGAGGGTTTAGGGCTTTTCATAGGGTTTAGGGTTTAAGGGGTTTTCAGAGTTTGCCGCCTAGGGTTTTTTGGGTTTATATAGGTTTTTGGGGGTTCAGACTTCAGGGGTTTGAGGGTGTAGGGTTTTGGTGGGTTCAGGGCTCAGGGGTTGTCAATGTTTTTAGGGTTCAGGGTTTAGGTGTGTTTAGGGTTTTGTTAGGGGTGTTTCGAGTTTTTTTTTTTTTTAGGGTTTTAGGGCTCAGGGGGTTTTAGGGTTTAGGGTTTACCTATCAAACTCTTACACGGAGATAGGTCTCACAAGTAGCTATGTATCATAGGCGTCGATAGACCCCTATGTAGACACTGGGTTTTTGCCAGACCCCTATGCATCGGCCTTGCCGACTTTCCGAAAGACCTCTATACATAGGGGTCTTCCATTTTTCCATTCCCTACCTATACTACCCCCCTGTGCCGCATAGACCCCTATCCATTTTCCATAGGCCCCTTCTACCCTCAGGATAGACCCAATCGGGAAATCCGTAGACCCCTGTGCCTTATCAGTTTATGTTTTTATGTAAATGGTTCTTAGGGCTTAGGGCTTTGGGGTTTACTGTTTAGGGTTTAGGGGTTTTCAGGTTCTAGGGTTTAGGGTTTAGGGGTCAGGGTTATTTTATGGTTTAGGGTTTAAGGTTACTCAGGGTTTAGGGTATAGTTTAGGGGTCCGTAGGGTTGAGGGGTTTTCAGGGTTTAGGGTTTAGGGTTTTGTTAGGGTTTAGGGTTTTCCAGGGTAGGGTTTAGGGTTTTTTTAAGGGTTTATAGGGTTTTTTAGGCTTGTGGGCTTTCTCGGGTTTAGGGCTTAGGGTTTTAGGGTGGAGGGCGCGTGGCTTCCTGCGGCGCAGAATCGGCTTCAAGGGAGGGTGCGTTTCGAGCTTTGGCGGTGGTGATTTTGAGCTTTCCATGTTTTAAAACCAATAAACAGCCAATAGAAACCCCAAAAAACCAATAGAAAACCAAAAAAGACCAATGGAAAACCAATAAAAACCAATAGAAAACCAACAAAAACCAATAAAAACTTAACAACCAATAGAAACCAATAAAAGCCAATAGAAAACCAATAAAAACCAATAAAAACCAAGAAAGCCAAGAAAATAGCCCAAAAAACCAATAGAAAACCAATAAAAGCCAATAAAGACCAATAGAAAACCAATAAAAACCAACAGAAACCATTAGAAAACCAATAGAAACCAATAGAAAACCAATAAAAACCAAGGAAAACTAAAAAGACCAATGGAAAACTGCTAGAAAACCAATAGAAACCAATAGAAGGCCAATAGAAAACCAATAAAATTGATAGAAAACCAATAGAAACCAATAGAAAAACTACTCGAAAACCAATAGAAAACCAATAGAAGGCCAGTAGAAAACCAATAAAAGACCAATAGAGAACCAAGAAAAAGCAATAGAAAACCAATAGAGAACCAAGAAAAACAAATAAAAACCAATAGAACCCAATAGAAAACCAATAAAAACCAAGAAAGACCAATAGAAAATTAATAGAAAACCAATGGAAACCAATGGAAAACCTATAGGAACCAATAGAAAACGAATAGGAAACCTAGAAAGCCAATAAAAACAAATAAAAACCAATGGAAACCAGCAAAACCAATTGAAAAACCAATAGAAAACCAATAGACAACCAATAGAAAACCAATAAAAGCCAATAGAACACCGATAAGAACCCATAGAAAACTAATAAAAACCAATAGGAAACCTAGAAAACCAATAAAAACCAATCAAAACCAATGGAAAACCAATAAAACCAATAAGAACCAGTAGAAAACCAATTAAAACCAATAGAAAACTAAGAAAAACCAAAAGAAAACCAACAGAAAGCCAACAGAAAACCAATAAAAACCAATAGACAACCAATCAAAACCAATAGAACACCAATACAAAGCCAATAGAATACCAATAGAAAACCAATAGAAACCAATAGAAAACCAATAGAAACCAATAGAAAACTAATAATAACCAATACAAACCAATAAAAACCAATAGAAAACCAATAAAAACCCAGTAGAAAACCAATTAAAACCAATAGAATCATTGGTTTTCTATTGGTTTTCGACGTGGCGTAGCTACTGCGGCAGGACGTGTCTGCGTCGAGCTTTCCTTTTTTGATTCAGCCGCCCCGGTTTTGCGATTCAGCGCCGCGCAGTTTCCGATTCGTGCCTGGCGTTTTCCGATTCAGCGCGGGGTGTTTTCCGATTCGCCGCTCTGCGTTTTCCGATTCACGTTTTCTGATTCGCGCCTGAGACTGTCATCATGGGTTCTAATTTGACTGCCAGCATTCCAAGATATTTCAGCAGCGAGAGCGCACGCATAGACAGCCAAGGCGGTGATGAGCCTGTCAGACTCGATGGTTGCTTGGATGTGACCAGTGCATGGGTTTATTGGGCAGGAGCACGATATTTTCCTGACAGGCAGAGTTCTCATCGTACCAGCGTATCTTTATCTCCTATGCTCATATTCTCTTCATGCGGGAGCCCAAGTTGGTAGCGGCAGCACTTTCATTGATGAGAGCAGATTGCCACCCACACCCGCACTCTGCAACTGTGGGAGGGAGGACGTATGGTTCAGGTGGTGAGGTGCAGGTGAGCAGCATAGCTTTGCTTCTTGCATGAGGGCTACTTTGTTTCGTGCACAAGGGCGCGCTGCTTCCTGTCGTTGCAATGGCAGCCTCGGCTTGCCATCATTACGTCCACGCTACAGGCGCTTTGCAGCTCTTGCCTTGGACATCGGACATCGGGTATTCTATTCAGACCAGGCAACGACGGTCGACTTGACCCACTTCTTGATTGCCTGGCCCTCGTTGCGTGTAGCAGCTACATTCTGTCTATATCTGCCTAGTCTCCGATAGTCTCACGGAGCTGTGAGAAGCTTCTTTTTGGAACAGCAGTTGAATACATTGACAATCGTGGCGTCCTTTTGCGGAGCTTTGTGACAAAACACAGAGCAAAACATTTTTATGTTTCCCAACTCCACCCTGCTTCCGCACCGTTTCCCACCATAAACGACATGTCGGCTCAGGTTTTGATACCCACATGGTTCGGCTTTGCGATTGCTGGCATGATCATGTTTGGCAGACGGATGCAGGCCTGCTACATGCAACATAGGGCATTGCGTCGTTGAGTATGCTCTCGAGTGGTACCTCAAGTGTTGTGAAAACAGCAGGCAACGGAGAGTGAGTGTGCAGTGTGCTAGGCGTTTTCCACACCTCTCAGCGGCTTTGCCATGCTACTTGGCGTGGTCATTCGATGATATTCGATGTATTTTTTAGCCACAAGCCAAGACGATACTTGAGATACCTGTGGAGTCGCAGCTTGTGTGGGGAGGTGCTTGCAGCTTGCCCTAGAGGGTGAGTACGACTGGGGCTACATGTCCTCAGAGGCTGCAGAGCTGCTAACGTGCAGCGCAACTTTGCATGTTCTGTTGGTGCCATTACTTCGTGACAACACTTTGTGATGCAGCGCGTTGCCTCAGCTGTGACAGGACTGGTTTATCACACTACTATGGGTCTGGATCTACATGGTTCTCTTAGCATGATGCTGAGATGCAGTTGTGTTGTTACATGTGCTGTATTTGTTGCATTGCAACAAGAGCGCGGTCTTGGATGCGACTGTGTTCTGAGAATGGCTGCCAGCAGCGGACTTGATCTTTTCGATGCTTCAGGTGATGGTGATGTTGAACATGGTGCTCGCCATCATCATGGATGTGTACGCTGAGGCAGTGTGCCTCTGCAATTTCCACTGAAGATGCGGCAAGATGTCCCTGCTCGCAGAGCTGTGCAGGTTCGCAGACAACAAGGTGAAACAATGTCGATCTTTCAGCATTGTGACTGCCTCATCGTTTTGTGTTCAGTAGCGTAAACATCTTGCAAGGCTTGTATTGCCTCGTGGTAGAGCGGATGGTGCTGGCTGCAGAATTTTGACCTAATCGAGGGGAATTGGGTTTGGTGCTCGTACTGTACATCTTTTGATCGTACGATCCCTACGCAAAGAGATTTGGAACGCCCAGTTCAGCTCCGTGGCACGATCACCCACAATCACCTAAAGCTGGAGCTGCGCGGTTACATTTAACTTGCCTGAGGCACCTACCTGTTCAAGCGCGCCCTGTACTTCAAAAACTGGGTACTGGGCTAAGCCGTGCATCCCATTCATCAGCGAAGCTGAATTTTCTTGGCAACTACGTTGCGCTGTGGTCAGGTTCCAGACAGGGAACTGTACCAGTCTCAGTGCTGCAATGTGTTGGAGTGTCCAGACGTAGCCCAAATCACAGTGTCATTTGCTAGATTTTGCTAGCTAGTCAGCTAGTCAAATCTGCTAGCATCCACCAGACTGAGGTGGGAGCGCGTAGCGGAGATGCCAGAGACCATCATCGTGGATGAGATTCTGGAGGCCTGCAAGAACAGCAGCCCCGTCTGCCTCAACAAAGCAGAGACGTGACAAAAGGCTTATCCGAACATGCCAGATTTCCAGCGGTGCCCCAAGTTGGAGCGAATATTCCAGCTTTTGCCTTTAGAGCCCGTTTACTTGGTTTTCTTGCAAAGGCTCTGAACTTGTGAACATGAGGCTGAACTTCCTTTGCGATGGGGCGAGGAATCGGACAAGGGTTCGGCGCTTAGGTTTGGGTCAGGAGTTTCCGCGAAGTGCTCGATGGTACCTGGTCCTTTCGACATGCTTCGATGTTGGTCAACAGGTGATTCAGCGAGCAGGCATCGACCCAACATATACTGTCCAGATGGTCGCTGCAATTCACATCAGCCTCGAAGAGGCCCAGCAGAATGCAATTTGTTTTTGCACATTTTTGCACGTACGCGCGCGCTTGCGCGCGGGCGCTTGCGCTTGCGAGAGTGTGGTTTCTGCAAGCCTGACGGGCGACAAGCCTATCTGTCGCCTCTTTTGTGCCACAGATCATGATGGATCTCATCAAGCTCAAGAAGCGCGGATGGATGGGAAAGGGCTTCGAGGCAATCTGGACGCACGTGCCCACTCCTGACAGATTGAGATGGTGACCCATGTTGTCTGCACTTATTTCGAGGTTCCTCACGATGAAGACAGGAACCTCGTTAAGGTGGCCAGTGTGCTGCTGTGTAGTCATGAGTGATATTTAGTCATATGTCCGCGGGCTGCAGGAAATTCTGTCTGGAATTGCAGTTCAAAGTGAATGGATGCTGAATGCACAGAAGCATGTGCTCCGCTCTTACTGGGAAGGGTGCATCTTGCTTCGTCTTCCATGCCTTGTGTCGCAGTTTGCACGGTGCTCTGAACAACCCCTCCAGCTTAAAAGTCTCAGCAAAGACATTCTGGTCGGCCGTCGAGCATGGGAATGCAAAGGAATTTTCGGGCAGCTTCGGCGAATGGACCCCAAAAGAAGTATTTCAAATGTGGCCTGCATGCGCTCTCCGGGGACTAGGGAAGCAATGAGGGTGTGTTCCAGTCACGTCGGTCGCCCAAATGCGAGAGGCTCGAGGCCTGAGTGGGTTGAAGACCAAAGCAACTGCAGAGAAGGCAGCGGAGTTGCAGCGCCCGAGGTCATGGCTACACCAGCAGATCGGCACCGAAGGGGCTGATGGGGCTGGATACGAGTGGAAAGCTACTGGGCCAGTCGGGGCTCCCAGATGCAGACTCCAAACTGTATGTTTGAAAGCTGCCAAACCAAGTCGCGGCGGATGGACCAAGTGTTGTTGCATTGGACGGTACTTTCGAATCACCCTTCATTAGCCGAATCATGACGACGTTCTTGAGCACATGAACGCAGCTCGCACCGTATCATGTCCGCTTGAAGTTGGAACATGTTGACACGCAGCCTTTTCATGTCTGTGCCCAGCTTCCCGGGCACGTCATCCTTTTGTGCTAAGGCTGCGAGGGCTTGCAAGTGGCTGGTGCTGATGGGGTTATTTTGTTGGTGTTATCTCTCAGCGTGTTTCTTCTTGACAAGCACCTCTTATGACGATGAGGAGGCGAGGGGAAAGCTGAACAGCCGCAGACTCCTGCAGAGCAGCAGCTTGTACGTACTCATCACGAAAGCTCCCCTTGAGGGAGAGTCGTTCAAAACCCCGCAAGGGCTGGGGCGAAGCCTTGGGGGTCTGGGGGGGTAGAGGGCCAAATTCTGGCTGTTCCGGCTGGGCGTCCTCCTCCTAAATTCGGTCCGAGGCGACTGCCCCCCATGGCCTGCGCGGACCTTTTTTCGAGTTTTCATGTGGGTTTGTTTTGTGGCCTCTTCGACGAGTAGTGCTCTTACGGCCCCAGCTCAACGGGACCGGCCTGATGCTCCTGATGCTGGTGGGGCCCCGTCATGCCCTTCTTGGCAGCCCTATGATGCTGATGATGCTGGCGGCTGGTGTGAAGGGTCATATGCTATTCATGACTTCTTGTGTGCATTGATGCTCCGAGGGTCCCCGTCCCTCAGAGCTGTAGGAATATCATGCTGTTCCTGCATTCCCTCCTACACTGTCTCCTCACAGACAGAGCTTTCGTCTCTGCCCGTGGCTCCCAAGTGGCAGAGACCGCAGAGCAGGCGAAAGCGCAGGATGAAAAGGACATGCTCCTCAGGCGTGTCAGGAATGCCATCACTACGATGTTGAACGGTCGAGGAGATGCAGGGGCAGCAACTTGGAGGCTTGCAACAAGATGCGGTTGACAAGCTAACGGCTTATGGCAGAGACTGGTTGACCACGCAGCTGGAGTTCAAGAAGCCTACGGCAGATCATCAGGCTGTACTTCAAGAGCACCCAGTTTAACCATGAAGGAGTTGGTTGCCAAGTTGCGGTCTGGAGCTGCTGATATGGATGTGACATCCTTCCGAACGGATGTTTCACGTCAGGCCACGTCAGTCATTCAGCTAGTAGAGTCCGCTGGTGTGTCCACATGCACAGCGCAGTGTCAGTATCACGACTGGTCGTACTGGCTTCAAAGGCTGTTTGACTAAGCAAAATTTGACCATCACTGATTCAGCGGGCTTTGAGCCATCATTTGGTGGGTTGTCTGCTGCAAGATATTGCAAGCAGTTGCAAGCATGTGATCAGAGTCGTACAGGGCTTATCGGGCCGATAGGATCGTAAACATGTCCCATTGACCTGACCTAAGCCCAGGTAGAGGTGCCAGTTCCCCGGAGTCGGCAAGGCGGAAAGATTTGGCAACCTTTTGGCTGCCTTTGGCTTTTGGGGCCTTTGCTGATTTTGCTATGACTCTATGACTTTGCTCAGGCAATGACTGACAAAGGTTCTCATGCGACGGTGGGCAGCCTAAGGTTGCCTCAGGGCGGGTGCGTGGGGATGGATTTAGTTTGTTCTCCATCTCCTGCAGGGGGGCTCACATGGAACTTGAGCATGTCCAACATCGTTGGCTTGGCTCTAATTGGTCTATTCTTGAGCCGAGGCTTCGTGAGCACGCTTGTGATGTGGTGCAGGAAGGCATCTACCTAGGGTATGCATCCGTTGTATGAGCGTAGGAAGGACGTAAGTTACGCTACAGATGCACTCTGCCTTCCCTGGATTGTCAGTCCGGGTGTCAAACAGCAAATTTGATTTCACCACTTCTGTGTCACTTGCCAGTGGCCATCCAAAGGAGGCTTCAGGAGGCATTGATGGAGCCTATGCGCCTACGGTGTCTAGCATCTGCGTCGAAAACTATGCTCTGCACATCCGCATACGGAATGGAGCATGGCACGCTGGGCATCAAGAATGACTCTAGCAGTCTAGCTGCTCCCTGTCAGTGCGACCATCGCCGCGTCTCGAGTCAAAACCTTTAGTCCATCCTTTGTTCAGCCGAAGCGATCTGCAGTTGCAGCTGGTGGTTCGTTCTTTGCACCGCGACACATCAGGAGGATGCCACGATCTGCAAACGCAAGCCACGAATCATCTTGCACACGCTCATTCCTAGCATTAGTCAAGAGTGTATCCGCGGAGTGCCTTGGGATGGTTCTGCTGCTCTTGCGATCTTCGCGCCCCTCAGTGCGACCGGCGCGTTCGCATGCTGGCAGTGACGCAGTCGCTCATGGTGGAGGTGGACCTCGCCTCACAGGCCTCACAGGCCTCACGGGCCTCACAGGCCTCACAGGCCTCACAGGCCAGAGCCCGCAGGGCGACCTGCAGGGCTTCCTTTCGGCTCCGAGGGCTCCACGGCCACGGGCTGGCGACACGTTGATGCGAAGCTCAAATGACACGAAGCCCTCGAAGCCCTCGACAAAGTCTACGAAACTCTTTGTACGTGGACTTGTGGCCGCTCGACTGCATCAATTTGTAGTAGTGAATGGGCCATAGAAACTGCAGAGTTCAAAGAGCTTTCAACATCCCATCAGGCCAGCAATGCCAGCACGGCACATAGGGCTGTGTGGAGACACAGGTAGCGGATGTTTCAGGTGACCATGATGGCGCTGGCGGTCGTCGGTGCCTTGACGAAGTGCTTGGATCTTCCTGTGATCTTCGGAGTGATTGCGTTCGGCTTGCAGTGGGGCTTCTTCCTCCTGCAGGGTTGGCCACAACGTTGCTTGGTTCTGCACTTTCTGCTTCGCCGGCACATGTGCGAGAGCTGGTTCGGTGGATTGCTTCACCTGTTGTGATTCTTTGCCATAGATTGCCAAGCCAGGTTCTGAGGTGCTGTATGACGCCTCAGGCCACGAAATTTGTGCGTTGACAAGTATTGGAAGCCAAGTTGAATGTTCGATGTCTAAGATCCCCAGGCTCCCTCACTCATCTTTCGATTGTTCTGGCTGCCCTTCTTCATGATCCCCTTCGAAGTCCACGTCAGATCTTTCTAAGCATCTTTGCGGTAGTCTGGTGCACACGCTTGGGAACTTTTTTGTTCAATCGCATCTCGCAAGACTCGAAGGCAGGGTGGGAACACATGCGCTCAGCACATTGCAGCCGTCCCGTTATGTACTAGTCAGTGCCATGTTCAGCGCAATGCAGGACTCCAGATTCACCGAGCTGAAGCAGAATTTCTGGTCGTTCTCCGTTGCCTGGAATTTGCAGGGTTTGTGGGTCTTCCTCCTTGAACTTCCAGCTGCATGCTGGCATTTCTCATGTCTTCTCGTGCGCAGGTTTTGCACAGCAGCTGTCAGTGTGGAAGTCCTTAATTGTGCCTGAGATCGTGGTGCTCAAGGTCATGATGGTCAACACATCGCCACAACCACCAACTGGCCTTTGGGACGTGGTGGGTTGGTGCTTATGGTGCACTGGGTTTCTGGTGGAAGCAGTGGTAGCCTTAAGTGGCCTTAAGGTTCATGAAGGAACTTTCTACTCGTCTGAGCTTGGTGCCTTGTGTGCCTGGAGCAGCTAAGGTCGCTGATGGTCAAAAGTTCGCATTCCGAGGAAATCCCTCCAATCGGGGTCGCTTCATTACTACAGGTCTCTGGAGATATTCACGCCATCCGAACTACTTCGGCGAAATTCTGATGTGCACCTCCTGCATGCTGTCCATGCTGTCTTTCTCACCTGGATTTCAAGATGCATTCTACTGCAAGTAGGGTACATCGTTATTGTCTGACTTAAGGTGGGTTGGATTGTGCACATCCTTCACTTCGTGCGTTACTTCGGCAGCCCAGCTACTAGCTTGGATCTCGCCAGCCTTCAATGCCATTCTCCTTGTTTATGTGAGAAGCTCAGAGACCCCTTCAAGTGCCGTCGACACGTCGGCTGCTTGTTTGCAACATCTTGCAAATATTTGAGGTCTCGGGTGTTCCTCTCCTGGAAAAAGCTGGCGCAAGCAAGTGGGGCCAGGAGCCAGAGTACCAACACTACATGGAGGACCCTGTCTGGTCATTCATGAGATTCATGAGATTCATGAGATTTCGTGAGATACATAGCTCCGAATTCATAAAAGCAACTTGCGCTCTGCAGAGCTCACCTCCTGAGCTTTCTTAGACGTGGATGTAGCCTTGATTAAGCTTGTGCATTGCGTCATGTCATGCAGCGGTTGACAATGCGGTGCACTTGCCGGAGGTTCTTAGCCATTCTTACCTTGCTTCTCGCTCGCTTCTAGCTCGCTTCCCGCTTGCTTCCCGCTTGCTTCCCGTTCTTCCAGGGTTGCATTGCAAAATCAGCAGTATGCTGCAACCAGCAAACATCTGGAGATGTGCGATTACCTGCAGGGGGGTTCGCCGACAGTCCGCCTATATGCCAATCAAACCTCTCTCGACTTGCCGACAATGCTTAGCGTCAGGCCAAGGTTTGCATATTGACAACTGGAATCTTAAACGGAAGATCTGCCACTTTAACGGCTTTAACGCTGCGCCGTGGCCATCAATTCCATTCTGCTTTCAAGCTTTGCAGTCTTTGCCTTCCGGCTTCGCCCCGACTTTCAGTTCTGCCAAGTCGAGGTATTGTCCAAGAGATGTGCACCCATGTGCATCCTTTCTTCCTTTCTTCCCCTGCAGAACACTTCCTGTATCGTTCCATGGTTTCCAGCGCCAGAGTATTCTGACGGCAGTGGCGCGTAGTATGACGTGCCCAAAGAGGCACGATAGCTCAATGATGCTAGCGACTTGCTGATTGTTATCGAGTTGCGACCAAAGAAGCGTCTGAACAATGTCGTGCTGAGTGCAATCAGACAGCTGAATATGAATCTCTGGCTGCAGCTGTTTGCCAAGTTCAACTCAGCCAGACAGGAGGCGCAAGCGCAAGATCGCCAAAACTTCAATCGAACCAAGCGTTCGAGAGTTGTTCCACTTTGAGGTGATGTCGGTTCCAACATGTATCTATATATGGCAAGTCGCATAAGTAAGTGCAGGAGGCTCAGCAACTGTACTCTTTCGCAGGGAAGATAGGGAAGCAAATGTCAAACTCATAAAGACGGATTGATTTGACCCGTCTATTCTGACAAGGCACGGAGCCTCTGGATATTTTTGGATGCCTCTTGCGCTTCCGAGTCTGCGCGCAGGCTGCCACATGACAAGATGATGGGCCCTGCTCTTGATCTAGGCTTGATCCGGCCCTCCAATCCCCAACACTTCATGACTTCATGACTCACTTGTGAGCAGGAGTCAATGTTATCGTGTTCTTCACTCTGCTGATGATCGTTTGCGGCTGAGCATTCGTTTCTACAGGCAGTATGAATTCAGTGCTCTCCGTTGCAGTCTGACCTCCGTGTTCACTCCAAGAGAGATTATCGGGGTCGTTTGCCAGTGCCGTAGTCTTTCTGCCCACGGCTTGTTTGCTGTACGTTCTCGCGGTCTTCTCGCTGCTCGTTCTTCTGCGGTTCTGGGATCCAAGTCCGGTGCAGGCCTTTACGTTTCACATTCAGGGTTTAGTTTCATGTCAGTTCAAGCTGTTACAATCTGTTACACCTTCAGAAACCTTTGGCCTTTAGAGCCACTTTCGCCCATGGACGAGCTCAGTTTACTTATCAGCGAAGAGATCTCGTACACAGCTTCGGCTTTGTCCTGGGGTTCGTTCGAGCGTGCCTCTAACCGCTTGCTGGCTGCCTCAGGCCATCTGCATCTTCAGCGTTCCTAGTGGCTGCCTTAGCGCTATGAGTTTCTTACATAGGTGCATTGCATCCTCATGCATCCAATGCATGTACATGTTAGTGGCTATCGTGGAATGCGTCCCTAGGCAAGCAGGCTTTGAAAGCCACCAGGAGATCTGCCCAGCACAAGAGGTGCAGTATTGAAGTGCAACGTTGCATTGCTGAAGTGCATGAAATGCATGAATTGAATTGGGGGATGTGTTCGCCCATACGCTGTGCTCGAAGCCCAGAGGCTGGCATCGGACTTGGGGTACTCGACTCAAGACGGCCAATCAACCCAGGCGCAGGACTCGTAAATTTAATGCTAGAATGGCTAGAAGGCTGCTAAGCGTTGTCAGTCATCCTTTCGGCAGGACTCGCCACTAGAGAAGGGGCAGCCCAGCTGCAGAAGATCTGATCTTTGTCTCACTACCTCACCCCCGAAGTCTAAAGGCGGCACTGGCTGAGGCAGCGTTGCTTCGGCACTGTGCAGCGCTACTCCGAGCGAAATGGCAAGTGCCTCTGAGAGATTCTGTCCTGACTGTGACTGGCATGTGCATGAGCCCGAGGCATTGGCTTCATCGCATGTGCTGAGTGCAGGGTCTGTAGCTAAGCCTTGACGCTCTGGTAGCAGACCTTGTAGAGATGTCGTGCCAGGTTCGTGCTCGTGCCATCTCGTGCCCTAAGGCTGTTTATGGTCGCGATGTGCAGTTGTTTCAAGAAGATTGGGAGGACTGCTTCATGATTGCGCGTGAGTGCGTGAGTGCGTTCGTGCGTTTGTGCATTCGTGCGTGGGTGCGTGCGTGCGTGGGTGACGGGGTATAAAGCAGGGGGATGGCCCATCTGACAAGAGGTTCTCCAAAATGTGCAAATCACTGAGGACGCTCCGTGACGTACCCGCTCAACATTTCTGCAGCAGATGCCGTGATTGTAACCTTCTAGCAAGCCCTTCGGGCCCTTCGGGGGTTTCCAAAAGTAAGTGTGTGGGTGTGTGTGTGCACGTGGGAAACAGGATACCGAGGATCTAGGTTTTTGTGCCACCAGGCACAGGACACTGCGTGCTGCATTCCTTGTGCAGATCAGCATGTTGTTTGGCCGGTTCGAGCATACACGCGCGAGCATCTACGAGACTGATGGCATTCATGAAAACAAAAAGTAAGAGAGAGAGAGAGAGAGAGAGAGCCATACAGGCTCCGACGCGAACCAACCCCCGCAAGCAACAAACACCCACCACAACCCGACACCCTCAAATCCAAACCAGCCACCGCACACCGCACCACACGAAGACCAACAGCAACCAGCAGCCCCAACAGCGACCACGGGAGCAGCCACCGCAACCACTGCCAACACCCAAGGATCGTGGCAACGACCACACCCCCACCAGCAAGGGGAACACCAGCAAGAGCAACCACAGCAAACCACACCAAACACAGCACGGCCAGCGGTGCCCACTGCAGCAGCCAACTCCGACCAGCAGCAGCAGAACAACACATGGTGGTGGGACAACTGGCAAGCATGGTGGAGAGAACGACGAGACTACGAAGAACAACAAACCACCACCACCACGACCACTGCCACGACTACCAACACAACCACCACCGGTGCAACTACCACCAACACCGCCAATAACACCACCAACACGGCCACCACCACCGCGGATGCCACCAACACAACAGCCACACACGACACTGACTCCCCCGCCCTGGTACAACGCACGAGCAAAACCCTCAACAGAGGGACCCAGAAGCCCACACCACACAGTACCAAGCCACCGAGCCACAAACCAAAGCCAACAACCAGAAAAAGACGGGTGCAGAGGAAAGGCAAGCACACGCCACCAGACCAACCCTCACAAACAAGCTCCCCGCCGCTGGACATAAGAAGCATGACACCAAGCCAACAAGCACTACACCACATCGACCAAGCACTGGCAGAGGTCAACCCAAGCAACGGCACGGATGTGGCAGCTCACCTGCACGAATGCAGAATTATCCTGCAAGCAGCCGGGGGGGACCTTGCGAGTCGCACCAACGCACCGACAAAACAGAGCGCCACCACGCCAACCCAACAACCACGGCCCACACAAGCCCACACCGGACATCCACCACAGAAACCGGGAACACGGACACCACACCAGCACCACACAACCAGAGCCATAGAACTTGACGAAGCAGCCAGACAGCTCCAACACATCTTGGAGGGAGACCAACCCACAGACCACTGGCAGCTCACACACACCCTAGCCACAGCAGCAGAGCTCATCCGCAGGGGCATCCACCGGATGGAACAAGTCGCCAGAGTGGACGATTGGATTGGCAAACATGGGGGGGGGAGAGGTGGCAGCACAAGTGGGGCTGGAACTCACAGAAGCGCTCCTGCAGCAGCTCAACAAAGTCCCTGGGGGGGGCCCTGACTCACACCCCAGGCAAGAACAACAAAGGCTGCAAACGCAAGTCAGGGAAATACTCACCCACACACAACAAGCACGAGACGCACACCAAGCCGTCATCGAAGCACCCCAGTGGTCCCAGCCACCAACCCAACCCCACGCAAACCCCCAGGGTGATCCCACACCACCACACGCACCCGCCACCCACGCAACACCAACACATCAACAAGCCACCCACCCAGCAGATGTCCTGGAACTTAGCAGAGGAGGGGTGGAAGACAACACGAACAGACCACAACAACCACCACCACCAACCCACGATGAACACATCGTCCAAGCACGCCAGATACTTGCACAGCTGGTCCCATTCCTGATCCAGCAAGAGGCGGTCATGGCCACCCAAGCCATGCAAGCACTCGACGAATGGCTAACCAACAGATGCGGGGAGCCCATCTACCTCATTGACACGCAAACAGGGGAGCCACCCCGGACGAAATACCCACACCGGACACCCTCCCCTGGCACCCCCCACCACATAAACCACACACCAACACCACCGACGATGCACAACACCCACCGCACCCACCGTCACACCACCACCACACCAGTCCTGGAGGGCACGGGCAAGGCGAGCCTACAGAGGAGCTCTCCTCGCCGAGAAGTGAAACGTCAGAAGAGGGGAGAACGAGAGCATATGGGGGACTACAACGCCGCGATTCCCCTCTACAAGATCACGACTCGAGAAGAAGAAGAACACATGAAGGGGCGAGCAGCGATTAGAGTAACACAACAACGCCGGCCAGAAAGGGGGCACCGAGTGGGGGACCTCAAGTGTGATAAGAGTTGGATAGCACCTTTGTCTTGCCCTCTACTCCTGGTTTACAACGAGGAAAGCCACAACCCCTGGCCAGGCAAAGTAGATGAGCGGGGCAAACAACTGAAGCAACCCTGCTACGTACAGTAGACGACACAGGAAGTACAGAGTGGGAAACCTCAACAGTTTGGGGGCTTCGGGGGGATGGGGCTTGAAGGTTGCAGGTCCTTTGGAGTTCGTACACCGGTGGGCATGAGGGGCACCACATTCCTGTGATACTTTATCGGGCCGCGAAAACCGCGGACCTTCCGATCAGACGGACCCTCGGACATCGCGCGCCCCTCGGGGCGGCCTTCCCTTCGGGGGGGGCTATGCGTGCAGGAGAGAGAGAGAGAGAGAGAGAGAGAGAGAGAGAGAGAGAGAGAGAGAGAGAGAGAGAGAGAGAGAGAGAGAGAGAGAGAGAGAGAGAGAGAGAGAGAGAGAGAGGGAGAGAAAGAGAGAGAGAGAGAGAGAGAAACGGACGGGGGCGCGCACCTGCGCGGGGGGTCACCCCCATGCCCCAACGAAAGAAAGAAAGAAATAGAGAGAGAGAGAGAGAGAGAGAGAGAGAGAGAGAGAGAGAGAGAGAGAGAGAGAGAGAGAGAGAGAAGAGGAGCACAGGCGTAGACGAGCCCATGCGGGGGTTGACTGAAGACGGGGGGCACTAGCAGTAGGAGTTTCCATTATAAGGGGGGACCCAGTCTACCCTCGCACGGGGCCATAGCACAGCAAAGTAGAGAGAGTAAGCCGTTGTGGGGGCTGGGAAATTTCAAGTTCCACTTCCAGGTTAGGGCTTCGAGTTGATTTGGGGCTGCTTTGGGGAGTTTAGGGGGCCAGCCTGTTTGAGACCACGGAAGGCTAACTCGTTTCACTGCACTGAACTCCGGAGGCTACGAAACCGTGTAGGGGAATCTGGGGGTTTAATGTCGCAGAACTAGACTCCGAAAGGCCCCGGCAGTTCGCATGCTAGCTGATGCCCGTCGGGGAGAGAAACGGAAGGGAATGGCGCGAGGCTTAGGGGGGGGGGGAACTAAGGACCCTTAAGGACTGGGGCAACACAGACATAGGCGCCAAGCCCGACCTTGTCTCCCCGAACTCAACCAACCAAGGACCCCCGAATACCGGGGCAGGCGCACAGCCAGGGGGTTCGCCCCCACGCCCCCAAGAAAGAAAGAAAGAGAGAGAGAGAGAGAGAGAGAGAGAGAGAGAGAGAGAGAGAGAGAGAGAGAGATAGGAGAGGAGGGAGAAGGAGAGTGAGGGAGTGAAGTTGGGGATTGGTGAGGAGGGGAGGTGGTGGAGGGGGGAGGGAGTGATGGGGGATGTGGGAAGGGAGGGAGGGAGGGAGGGTGGGTGTGTGTGTGTGTGTGTGTGTGTGTCTCTGTGTGTGTGTGTGTGTGTGTTTTTGTCTGTGTTTGTGTTTGTTTATGTGTGTGTGTGCGCACGTGCGTGCAGACCCAGCATTGTTGAAAACTGTAAGAGTCTGTTTTGGACCAGCGCTCGTTGTTGAAACTTGTCTCACACTCGGGAGACGCATCAATTCTTCGATGTCCTGGCTCAGTACCTCCAAGGAGTGATACTGCAGGCGCTTTAACGCGGAGATGAGGAATGCTTCAAGCGAACAAGTGAGAAAACATGATTTTGGACCATTGTCTCCGAGTTGTCTCCGGTGTACAAGGAAGGTATACGGAAGGTACAGGAAAACAAGTTGGATGACCTGCGAGTCAGCTTCGCATGGAACCTTCCTGGCCTCCCAGAGCTTCACGTAAGTCACATACTGTGTCACGAGCCTTTCCGTTCCAGGGCCTCTCACGGGTAGGAATCGGGTTTGGGCTTGTAAGGTCTAGGGCTGGGGTTGTTCAAGGTCGTTGCTTGGTTTGAACCGTAGGGCCTCGATTTCTTAAGGTTGTCAAGATTCAGTCGTTGTCTAGATTGAGCTGTTTCGGGCTTGGTGGGTTGTTCAGGGGAGAGGCAGTTGACTGCCTTCAAGAAGGCTTTAATAAGGCCTGCAGGGGTTGCTGATGGTTGCTCGTTGCCACCGAGAAGACCTGGAGAGTGTGAGTGTATGAACGCGTGCGAAGGAATGTTTCAGACAGTATTTATCGTTTTGACGTGGGGCTGTGTCCGGAGCCTGCGCATGCTTGATCTTTTTGTGGATGCTTTGCACCAGAAAGGCTTTGGAGCTCAAAGTTGGAGCGGCGTGGACCTTATGGGGACAGCCGCGACAGCCTGGTGATCTTGCCCAAGCCGCCCCAAGCCGCCCCAAGCCGCCTAAAGCAGCCCAAAGCCTAAGCACATCTGCGAAGCTTGTTCCGACTTTGCTGACTGCAGGGCTCGGGTTCCACTGTATTCGACTGTACTATGTTCTCGAGGCTGTTAGTTTCCTTCTTTCCGTGGAAGAGCGCTTTCCATGCCCGAAGGGGAGGCGCGGTGTAGCACTCACAGCTGTGCCTCTTAGCTTTAAACGAAAGTGCATTGAAGATATCTGAAGATTCTGGTGCAGGCCTTGGGCTGCGGATGTGCAGCGAGTCAGGCTTGGTTCGGCACTGAATTGCTACAAGGAAGTCCTGGACATGGCAGGTGAATGGGGCTGCCTTCGGCAGTCTGTGTAACGACTTTATGGAGCCGTCGGAGACTCTTGCAGCTCCGTCCGTGACCGCGGTGGGGGGAAAATTGACCAGAAATTTGTTCTGTAGTAGTGCAAGGCACTCAGCAGCAAGGTGCTTCGTCCGCTTTGAAAGGTGAAGATTGCATGTTTGCACATGTTTGCCAGTTCCGCCCCTCCTTCGCCACCAGATGTCGTCAAACATGATGTCGTCGAACATGGTGCAAGGTTACAGTCTCACCGTTACCATGACAACGTTGCGTATGCATCAGGTGAGACATAGCAACGTAACCCTTGGCAGGGACTGCAAAGTCAGAGTCAGATGTCCAGCTTGCGAAAGTGCGTATCTTGTTAAGATGTGCAATGGTGCACCCAGGGCACAGCTTGGCTCAAAGCACCTTGGCCTTGAGTCGTCCTTGCCCCCTCCTTGCTGTCCTTGCCGTGCTTTAGTCTCTATTTTGAACACCGGTGCACTCAACACTCAGGTTCTACGTGCTGGGGTCAGCACGACTGGGGCACCTCAGGCGCCGTATGCCCTCTCCTGTATCTTCTCACATCATCTCACTTGCCTTATTTTTTGGTGCCCTACTTCGTATGGTTAAGTATAGTTGTCCAGGGACTCCTCGGGCCTGGCTCGTCGGCTCACGAAGCATGCGGAGCCACGGGCGCGCCACCAGCTCCAAGCGCGACTGCACGCAGATGGGTACCTGTACCTGAGGCGACGTGATGTGCACAACCGATTTTCACCCTTGGCACGATCTCAACACTCCTCCTTTTTCATCTCCGAAGAATCCCAGGAGCTTCTTGCCATCGAGTACGGTTTGCGGAGCACGTTTGTCCCTGCTACGCCAATTCCAACGTTCGGGCTTGTTGGCAGACGAATGCCCACCTGGCCAGGCGGGCATGCCACTTGTGAGATTTCTGAAGTTGGGGGCAGCAATGCGTAGCCGCAATTTGCATCCTTGGCTTGGAGGGACATCAGCTCTTTGCACAAGTTTTGTTGCTTGCGGGCATCATCCTTGTCGACGATGGGACGGCATGCTTGCGAGACGCGAGTGACGCGAGACCTTCCGAGCTGTAAGCTCTGCAGGGGCAAACTGCCCGACTTGGGCCGAGTTGTTTGAACATGTTTCTGCTTTGGGCCTGGACGCCGGATACAGAGGTCCCGAAAGCACGGAGGGGTCGGTGGTGGGAGCGTGTTTGAGCTGGCATCAAGTCATCGCGCATCTCGCAGTTTGTCGTGAGTTTTCTGTAGCATGTTGGTCTTTCATGCAGGCCCGATGTGGAGCATCCACACCAAGTGGGAGGCCCGAAGGCTTCTGTTCGGACGAGGTGTTGGCAGTCTTAAATGACCCTGACGCTCGCAAGAATTCAGCTTTTCCCTGGAACAAACTTCAGTGCTTGTTGAACGAATTTGTGGTTGGATTCCTTCCTTGATGCTAAAGGACTTGTTCCTAAACCCTGGCCCGAATACAAGTAGCTGTGTCACAACAGTCTCCCAAAAGGAGGCCAGAAGTTTGAGAAAGGACTTGTTCAGTTTCCTCGATGGCTTATTTCAAGATGTTGTGGAAGTGGTCTTCGATGCCAACCTCCGTGGAATACAACCTGGACAGAGCACTGGATTCCACACCGATTCTGTCAGCTCCTCGATCAGAATGCGCATAGGGCAGAACTTGACAGTTGTCGGTGGTGCTGCGATGTCACGCGATGTTCTGTGATCTGTCACATGCTCGAGGTGTACATGGGTAAGCTGATGGTTCCTGACCGACCACCAATCCTTGCATGTTGGATTGCGCTGATGCCCATCCCCTTGGAGTTGGGGGGTCTCGTCCTTTGCCGCGGCTCAAACTCTCATCCAGGAGTCGCAAGGAATGCAGCAATGCCTTCAGTTGCCCACATGTCCCAACACTTGCCTAATGCCCTAACGCTGCATCACTCATACTAGAGTCACTAGATTCCGTTTTGGGGTTGCAGGATTCGGGCCTTTGCGCGGAACGTATGGGAAGCTGGACTTGGATGAGAGCGATATTGGTGGCACCGGTTGGTTCACGGAGGACCCCGAAGAAGTCGCGTGGGCTCATATTTTGATTTCCGCCTGCATCAAAAACTTCAGGTGGAATGCTGCAGGTGGAAGAATTCCACCCCTAAGGTCACAAGATTCGGTGGCTGTTGGGAGACTGCTGAGTATGGACCAGGATCGGCTGTTGCAAGGCTCCGTTGAGTTGATCTTGATGAAAACTCTGCTGCTCCGGGTCGTCTGTGAGCTGTGAGATATTGTCATGATTGTCATACATCGTGCATTGTGGGGAAATTGGAAATCTTCGAGGAGACGTTGTCATCTTCACCATGCACACTGTGCACGGCAGTTCTGTGAATCGCACAGACTCTTGGCGCCTCTCCCTGGACTTCCGGGTGCAATCCTCCCTGGCACCTCCTCCAGTGGTTTCCCAGAACAAGGGCAGGCAGGGTTTCTTAACGTTTCGGTTCATGCCGAGACGTCTCTGTGATTTTTCCTCGAACTTCCTTGTAGGTGGTCCCGATTGCGTCACAGTCGAGAGTTTCCGCGCAGTATGGAAGAGGCGAGGCAGCATAGTATGCCGCCACCTGCTCACGTCATGGCTTTCCTTTCTTGGAGCATGTAGGAGCATACTTTGTACCATGATACACAGTGATATGGTGCCGGGCAGCCTCCACATGACACCCCTGGAGGCAAAGGCTGCTTGGAACCTTGAGGCCAAGTCGTGCCCACCTTTAGTGCACACGATGTGCGTGCTCCACCAATCTCCACCACACACCGAACATCATTTGATGCATGACATGGCCCCATGGCCTGCCGGAGGCAGCTGCTGGCTTGAAGCGCCCCGCAGATGAGCCCAGGGAGTCCGAAAGATGTGGCTGCCATCCGCTGCAACTTGAAATCCAGCATGCTAAACACACCTGCGCTGGTTCAAGATGAGTAAGAGTTATGTCATGTTGCTTCAGTTCGCACCAACTTCAGCAGGGGTACTGAGCCGTGACAGCCACGATCGAATGGCTTCCACTGTTCAATGTAGGTTTCAGCAGTGCTTTTCCGACCCAAGCTTGATTTGGGCTTTCTCTAAAGGATGTTAAGCACAAGTGCAAGCTTGGCCACACAGAACTGGTCACTTCTGCAGCTCCCATACAAGCAACCATGTCAGCATTCGCTTCACTTGCCGAAGCATAGGGTCAGATGGATCCATCTGCGCCTTGTCGTGCAATGGACCTCTCAAATTCAGTGATCCAAGCTGCCAATTCGATGACGCATGATGTTGCAGGACGTCGATGAAGTTAGGAGGTCTCACATGGCCAGCCAGGAGGATGAATCAATGTCTGTCTCCGCCAAATCTCTTGCGAACCCACGGGACATGCAAAAGGAATTGGACCAGTGGCGACAGCAAAGATCCGTCAGGCAAGCCCGAGCCAAAGAGAATAAAGAAAACACAGTGGAGAAGACTTCGGGGGCCGTACCCAGAAAGACATTCAGGGGAGGCGGGGCAGCTCTTTCGCTCCGGTGCTGCTCCAACGTCGACCGCGGGCCTGTGTCATCACAGGAACGCGACATGCGCAAGGAGCTGGAGTGCTGGAAGGCCAGAAGGCAAACCAGGGGCAAGGAGAATCTGCCTTTTCAGGCCACAACACCCAGATCAACCGTTGACGTTCGTGAAAGCCCGCGGTTACGAGAAGCGAGAGATGTGGGGTGCTCGTCGCGGTCCAGCGGCTCCAGAGCCCCCAGGCAAGGATGTGCTGTAACAACAGCCATTGCAGCTTTGCAGACATCCATACCTCTGGCACCACCACCTTCGCCCACTCACTCAGACCGTGCGGACCTCAGATCGCTTGGAGCGATTGATTCCCGCGTCTTGGTTCCTGAGCTCTGTTTCTCGTGTGCGACAGATTGCAAGAGCAGAGGAGCTTGTGGTGGAGTTACGGCGCTCGAGCCCCACGCGCTGCATGCCGCAGTGTTGGCGGCCTTCGAGGTGCGCCGCAAGCTTTCTATTCCTTTCGCATGGCACCATATGCCTGCAGTTGTTCTTGAAGTTCGTTGAAGAACTGCTCCTCCGTGCTCCTCCAGCAAGTTACACGATGCATAGTATCATGGTGCTAGCCATGTCGAAAATCTTACTAGGCGAGCTTCCAGTGAGCTTCCCCAAGAGGTTCCGAGATCTCAACACAAGCGATCCAAGCATTGGCAGTACGTGTTCTGCGGGCACCACCAACATGCACGAGTCACACAAGCATCAAACCCCAGTGCCGTCCGCGCTCGTGCATCGGCACACATTCATGCACTTCTCATCGGCAGACTGTCTAGCACACCTAGCACCAGTGCAGATGCAGCATCTCCTTAAGTCTGCTGGAGCATTGGCATAGCTTGCTCTTTTATTCTGTTGATGTGCAGGTGCTGGAAGAGCCTCCAAGCGAGGCTGAAACCCGAAACAGTCGGCACCCTGGAGTTATGCATGGACAGTCCGAGCCCAGCCATGTGAACAAGAGCTGTAGGTTCTTCAGAAAGCAGGCAGAGAGCAGCTTTCCACATAACGAGCCGACCTATGAATGCCACCCAGGGCCAGCCAAACAGGTTTCCAAAACAACCTTCCACCGGCACGGATTTTTTTTATTATTTAAAGGCTGACGCCGCTGCCGCCGACCCCCGAGGTAAGCGCTGCGGATGAAGTATGATTGATAGCCTTGGCCATTCCTTCTGCCAGGGGTCTCTTCATGGGTTCTGGGTAGGGGGGGGGGGAGGGTGCAGCCAACACAAAACGCGTGGTTGCATCTGCTTAACCGCTTTCCAAAACAACAAATTCGGTTGTTTTTGGTCCTTCTCCTGTGGGGGGGCCGGCTAGGCAGGGCAGGGAGGGGTGGGTGCGGTGCGCGAAAAAGGGTGCATTCGGTTGTTGCTTTTTTTGGGGGGGCCCGCTAAACAGGGAAGGGGGTAGGGAGGGGGGGGGGGGGGGTGGGGGGGGGGGGGTGGGGGGGGTGGGGGGGGTGGGGGGGGGGGGGGTAGGGGGGGGGGCGTGGGGGGGGGAGGGGGGGGGTGTGGGGTGGGGTGGGGGGGCGGGGGTGGGGGGGGGGGGGGGGTTGGGGGGGTTCGGGGGGGGTACGGGGGGGGGGTAGGGTGCAGCCAACACAAAACGCGTGGTTCCACCTGTTTGGCCGCCTTCCAAAACAACAAATTCGGTTGGGGCCGGCTAGGCAGGCGGGGTAGGGGGCGGGGGTTGGGAAGGGGGTAGGTTTACACTCGCTGTTGGGTTTTCTTGTTTTCTTGAAGTTTTCCGCGCCCTTATCCTTTGTGCGATATCCTTCAAACCTCAAGTTGTTTTGAGACGTGCTGTAGTCAACGATGCTTCGTTGGAAATTTATCCCTGGTGTGGGTGTGGCTCTGCACCTTAACTAGTATGTGTTGCCACAGGGGCAGATTGTGAATTGCTGCACGCATCTGCACGCTGTTCAATGAGTTTGCACTCAGGCAACGCTTGCGCGCCTGAACGCAGCTCAGAGGCTCAGTTTGGCGTTGTTGTAGGCATGGAGCCGCAGTGAGCAAATGCAAACGCGAGGCTGAAAGCTCGTGCAAGGAGGAGGATCGCACAGGTGCCTCACACGGGCGGTTTACCCGAGCTCCTTGAGGTTTACCATGTTGTAAACCCCTGTCCACGTAAATGGGAAACATAGACTCTGCCGACACCCAAGGTTTGAGCCGTTTGCTCGCATTTCCGGCTTTCAACGAAAGGAATGCAGGTGTGTGGTTCCGTTTTTCGTTTGTTGCGCCGGCGTTTTGGGAGTCTGCAAATTTATCAGGATTTGTTGATTCCTTGCTGCCACGATTGCCATCTTGTGGGCTTGACCCCAAGCGGATATGCCAGGTTGGGTCCATGGCATCTGTGTTCTAAGACACTGACAGCCACAGTCAGGAAGCCTCGCATGTCATGTCACCAGAGTTTACCTCTCGCTTCCAACATATACTTTGTCCACATCGCTACATTGTGTAGCCATGGAAGAGAGGCTGAGACAGACAACAGATCCCTCAGCCAAGATGCAGGGGAGCTTACCAAGAGGCCGCTTTACGAGACACGCTCGGACCCCAACTCGCTCCTTTTCTGAAGCCTGGGAAGCGCTAGAGCATAGAAGTGCTTGGAGCCTCCGCAGACTCTGCCTCCAGTGAGGAGCGTAGCAATCCCAGTGAGGCAGCGACGGCGTTTGCTCCTGCCCGCCTGGAGTGTTGAGATGCCTCCGCCGACAGACCCGGCATCACAGGACACGGCCATGACTGGACAGACTAGCGGACACGTCCGAGATGCCATCTCTCACAGGCTGGAGATCGCAGCCCAGCCGAAGAAGCGGTTCACCCACTGGCAGCTCGGAGGACCAGCCCTTGGCGACGCTCCGAAAGGGCCAGCTGTCGCTGACATGGCATCGCAGTGCAGCCCAGCTTCCACTACTGGCCTTCTGGCTGCAAAGAAGAAACGGCGCCTGAACCCTTTGTCACCTACAGCTGCGAAGTCTCGAGCAGCACCAAAGGCATCGGCCGTGCCTTCAGCTATGCAACAAATAGAAGACAGCCCATAGTACCTGGTGCCGCGTGCGCCAATCCAGCTAAAGCTGGAGAATGACAGAGACACGGACCTTGCGAAGACCTTAGTGACGCGGCTGACGACGAGAAAGAGAGAGAGAGAGAGAGAGAACACCTAAAGAATGACGTCGTCAAGCCTTTCGAGTACTACCGCCCGGAGGCTCTTGAGAAGGTCCTTCAATGCGTCAACGACCTGAGGGAGCTCGGCTACATGGATGTTCGCCGCGTGCGTGGAGAGCTCTGGGACGAATGGAAAAACCCTCCCCTCAGCAACCCGTCCGACGTGCGACGTGGGGCTTTGAGGGTGACTACCTTGGCTTGTGCCAAAAGCCAATCGCTGGGCAAATCTGGCGGTGCATCGAGGAGTGGAGAACTGGTGGCTTCCTCTAGTGCAAGAGCCGCCGAGCTTCAGACTCGCCGGCCCTATACTTCAAGTGGAGCCAGTGAAGCTCCCAAGTGCGAGAGTCCGCGGAGAACCAGATTCAGAGGCAGAAGTCCGAACATGTCCGAACAATGCTGCCAAGGCTTCGTCTCCGAAGCCTCCTAAGGTCAAAGCGAGGCCTGCCGCCCAAATCTGAGAATCTTCCATTAGCCCGACTGCAGAGTTGGTTCGAGACAAAAGCGAGCTTGGTAAATGTGGGCTTGATGAGGCAGCGGTCGCAGACTATGTAGCAGCCGTGCTGTTCGGTTGCTGAGAGCTTCTCCAATCGCAGAGCCATCGAGAGCCCCTGTGTCCTTGAGCGCTTAAGAACTCCTTGCGAAATGTCATGGCGGAGATGAGGTGAGGCTTGGCGCTGACGACGAACGAGAGGTCACAAATCGTCACAAACCTTCGCAACGAAACGAAGTCCAAGCTTATGTTCAGTGTGTCTTGGCCAGTGTCGTCGGGCCGGTCCCCAGCCCACATTCTCTAAAGTTTAAGTTCCGTCATTGGATGCAAGTCGCTGTTCCTCATGCACATCTGCTGAATGATTACGATTCACGGTTCACATTGCCTCGCCAAGTGTTCACTTCTTCCGGACATGTCCGTAGTGGTGTAGCTGCGAAGGTGCTGCGGCAACAGCGGCAACGGCAGCAGCGGCGGCAACTGCCAGGCTTCTGGCAAACATTGCCAACCCAATGAATGATGTCAGATTCTGCCCGCTTTTTGGAATGTTCAGCGTGAGGCTTGAACTCGATCTGGAGGCGGGGTGTGACTTCCGGAAAGGATAAGCATGTGAAATGAAAGCAACAAGTTGGCAAGGCATCTGTGGATGAGGATGCTGACAAAGAGGAGGCCCTTATGTTGGTAAGGCAATTTTAGGTAGGCTGGTGAGTAACTCTCAAACCACCGTTGCGGGATGTTGGCTGATGGAGCCGGGGCCGAGAATATCCGAGGGCAAGGCTAGCAAGGCTAGCAAGGCTGGCAAGGCGGTGGCAGCCAGCCGAACTCTTTGATCCAGCGCCGTACTATGCAGCTCCATGCAATGCAGGTTCTGCATCAACAGCACCTCGAGCTTTTGGACCGTCTTGCAGCGCATCAACCTTAGATTCTTTCAGACTTCGAAGAGCTTTGGTCTTGGAGATGGCTTGAGGGTGGCGAGATGTGCAAGGCTGCGTGTTGCGGGGTAATGCAAATTCATTTCGTGTCACAGTGTCACAGGGCCTTTCATCTGCTCCAGTCACTTGCCACTGCAGCCGCTGTGTTTAACCAATCAGTAGTAGCAATATAGTAGCGGAGAAGAGCACTCGAATGTGCCCGCTCACTTTTCCATACGTTTCATACCTGGGCAAGCCGTGGCCCTAAACTTAACTTCTTAAAGATCATGGTTGTCGCAAGTGGTTGTTCACCAATGTTTACCACGCTGACCATCTCTCCATCAAGACAGTCCAAGGCCTTGGACCTTGCATACCGGAACATGTTAATCTCAGCGGCTAAGGATCTTGATGAAAATTGTAAAAAGTCAGCAATCGCGACTGACATATTGTGTAAAATGCAGCAGTGAATTGGCGACACGTTGCAACGGATTGCAACGGTCCCACGTCGAGGGGGCGGGGTGCCCGCCCCATCTTTAGTTCACCCCCATTTAGGGTTGAGTGTGGAGGTACCGGCATCATGGTCGTGAAGTTGTTTCGTGTGCAGTTTTGTTTAGTCAGTTTAGTCCGGGCCGTGTTTGGATGCTGTGGCCATGGAGCCACGTGCAACCTCGAGAACAAAAGGAGTTCAAGAAAGCACGCCCTGGACCTACAAATTGTTTTATTTGTGGGAAGCTGCTGCCGCCGTCCACACACAGAGCCTCGACAAGAAGCCTTTCGCCATGAGCCTCCGGAGATCCCCGCCCGCGCGCGCGCGCCCGCGTGTACAAATGGTTCACGTGCCCAAGGAACACCAAGGAACACACCCGATGCGGGACTGCATCATATTATGATGGAGTTCCCATGATGCCTTCACTCATCGCGCCGAGGCTGGTACAACACTGGTACAACTATTGTGGAACTGCACTTTCAGCAGGAATGCATAAATCCGAGAAGTCGGCCTGGCACCGACCTGTGAACGACAGGCTTGCAATCTTTAGCTTTGTCGAACTCGCACATGCAAGAGCAGATCAAGCTTGCAAATACTTTGTCATGACCATTCCTGCTTTTTTGTCGAGTATTGGGGAGCCCTCCCTTGCAGAAGATACTTGCCAAGTGCCTCAAGCTTGCATCTCCTTGTTTAGACAAGGGCTGCTGCAAATCGGGGCCTGCAGAGCATGGCTTGCTGCTTCCTGGACATCTGAAGTGCAACTAGGTACCGTGCACATCCTACCTTGTCCTGCCGGCTGGTAGCGAAGAGAATCCGCAAATGAGGTTCTTTTTGTCCTGTGAAATGAGCATCTCAGCCATGCTGCTCGCTTAATACCTGACGGCCCGTCTTTGCTTCTGGTACAGACGTCATTTCATTTGTCGATTCCTGTGTTCGGCGCGAATGGCTGCACTGCTTTGTTCCCGCACCTTGTGCCCTTTCAATCTCCGCACGGGTTTGATACCACATTAAAGACGTTTGAACGGTATTGAGAAGTTCCGTCATTTCGTTCTTGGCGGAGTGGGTCTGCTTCCCTTGCCTCCTGTCCATGCACTTGTTGTATCTTGTTGTCCCATTCTGATTTGCCATGGCTTTCCGCGTCCGCAGGTTTCGCATGCGGATGGGTTGGAGCTGTTTGGCTTGAATTTTCAAAGCGTTGCTCTCTCCCCACATTGTGGTAAAGATGTTCAAGACCCTGACAAGAATGGCGACTTGCAAGCCTGAGTGGTGATCGTGGCAACGGCCAAAGCCCCAAAACGACTGAGAAGAAGCCTCAAAAGCAAGCAGAGGCGATGGATTGGACGGCCTGGATACTCGACAGAGACATCTTGGAAACCCTAAACCTTGGAAGGAATCATGGTCTTCGTAGGCCAAACTCGCGGACTCAAAACATCCAGTGCTTCGCGATCATCATTCAAAACATGTATTATGTACTGGTCAATCCCACGCACATCAATCCCCGAAGTCCCACATCAGACACCTTGATCCCATCTACGAGACAGTCTAGATTGGCTTTGTAGTGGACAGGTGTAGGGTTCTGCATGAATGAGCAGCGCGTGAGCTGGGTGAGGTTGGAGGAAGCAGTCAGGCTGGAAGCAAAAGGCGAAGCGGCGGAGCAGGACAGTTCTCGGGCTCCCTCTCTCTCTCTCGACGGTCGAAAGAAAGACGCCTGGCAAGATGCAACTGCAGGAGTTGCAGGCTCAGTTTGAGCAAGTGACGGTCGAGCTGCAGGCCTGTGATGAGCAGATATGAGCAGCATGGCGCCGCATTCAAGACATTTCAAGACGCGGTGGCGTATCAAGCAGGAGTTGACTGAGCGCCAGCGCCGTCAGGCTGAAGTGTGATGAGTGTCCCAGTGTTGGAAGCGTAGTCACTGTGACATTGTATGCCTTTGCTGTGAACAGAAGATGCGGCTTGCATGCCCTCACCTTGCGAATCACATATCAATGTGGCGTCAATGCGGCATCAACAGTTGCAGGAGATGGTCAGCTGGCGGCATCGCGGTGACCTGAGTCAGCTTGCCTGAAGGATCCGCTGAAAGAGCTGAGACCTAGGAAGGATGGCTGAATGCGTAGTTGTCGCGAAGCAGAGAAGCTACATACTGACTAGCCGTGGGTCCGGTCACGAGCCACTTGCCAATCTTGGTATGTGGGGAAGGTGCGATTGTGTAGCCAATTGAAAGTCTATTGAAGGTCCCAGTATACCAAGGTGTCCAGCGGCATGTGGTCACTTGGCCAGCGCAGACAGCGCTCGACATGGAGGTCTGGATGTTCCAGTGATGTCACCACTTGCCCAGGCCAAGCAAATTTCGGAGCAGCGGAGCAGCGGAGCAGCGAAGCAACAGTGTTCAGCACAGCAAGAGTGGAGGACCACCTCAGCAGGGCTCACGACATCTTCACCTTCTGGTTCTTCGAGGCAAAAAGCATGCACTGGGGCACTTGGCCTGTACTTACCCGAACAAACTGGAAGCGCCCAGATGCGCGAGCGCATCAAGACGTCGCTGGACTTCAAAACCCCGCAGCAGAAGCCCATCTCGCTTGCACCCATTTTCGAGGCATTTCTGAAGTTTCCTCGGACAGTTTTCCTGTGGTGGATCCTCTTCGAAGTTGATTCAGCAGCCAGGACTAGTGGCACTCGATCTGAGTGGCCTTGTGAGACGGGCGCGCGTTGCACGCAGAGACTTCAAACCTTCGTGAACCTCGACAGGTGCGCATTGCATGCGGAAACTTCAAAGCTTCATGAAACTCGACATCGACTAATGTAGCAGGCTAGTAGGATCAGCTGTGCAACAATTCGTTGTGGCAACGTTCTGAGCTGGACGTGCCAAGAAGTTAGTGTGCATGACGTGACTTTACGTTTGCAAGGGTCCACATGCTTTTCTGCCATGACAAGTCAACAGTGGAGCATGACGTTTCAAGTTGCTGCGAGAACGGAAGCTCGACAGAATCGAGATGTCGGCATAGTAGATAAGAGTGTCTTTAGGTTTTCTTGAACTTGTTGTACTTCAGCATACTTCAGCCTACAGCTGGCAGCGGATCTGACATACATGCCTCCATAAACTTGCATTGCTTGTCATTACCTCATTCACCGTGCCATGGCTTGCTTCGATGACCTCTCAGACAGACTCTCAGAGCGAAGTGCAGAACCAGCAGAAGTTTTCGAAGTTGCGAAGTCAACGCTGCGTCTCTCCAGATGTGACAGGAACGACTTCGAGTTCGGACAACAGCTCGGGCGAGGAAGCTTCGGGGCGCCTTGGTTTCGGACTTCGCCCGGACTTCCTCTCTCATTTTTTCTTATCAGGTCTACTTTGAATACTGTAACTCCGGTGTTCTACACATTTCTGCACCGCTTTGCGCCTTGCAGTCAGGTGGTCTTCAAAGTTCGAAGAAAGAACGATGGACTCACCTGTGTCGGGCCACCGAGTCGTTAGGCATTTCTCAGGTCTTCTTCAGTTAGGTCTTAAGCAGCGTTCTTTTCCACGGCACAACCTTTTTACGTCTTTTTGCGGTGCGACTGAACACAAAAGGTCTGCAAGCAGATCCAGTTGAGCAACTGCAAGCCACGAGCTCGCGATGAAGCGAACCGGGAGGCGACCTCTGCTAGAGTCTCTACTACATAAAATGTATACTGACTCACTAAAGTCCGCTGGGTGCCTGTCTTCACAGGGATGGTGCAGTGTGTCAGCATATGAACGTTCATTCATGGACGGCAGGTCAGTCTTCTTAAACGGGTCTCGCGTGGATGCAACTACATCGTCCAGTATGTGGGATCTTTTCTGGCACGGCCACCAAGCCAAGTTGGCAGAGACGCTGTTGAAACTCATAGCGGAACACAATGAGTGGACATCTGAAAGCGGTTCCAGGAAGGGGAGTCCTTGCACATCCTGATGGAGTACTGTGAGAAAGGCCGGAATCATGGTTTTGCTGCGAGTTTGAGTCAAGCAGTGGCTGAGGAGACTTGTGTCAGTTCCTCAAAGCTCGTGACCGCAGCCTTGAGGACGGGGCCTCGTCATAGCCTCGTACCGACTTGGATCGAAGACGCTCGAAGACGCTTTTTCGTCGTAGACTGTCAATCGTCAAGCCTGGAGATGCTGTCGTCCAGTGAGTCTAGTGTAGCTAATTCAGAAGAGCTGTTTGAAGGGAGCCGAAGCTTGAGCAATCTGATCAGCGCCTGTAGGAGCGGGCAGTTTGGAAATATCTTCTGCAGATTGGCCTAGGGCTGAAATGGCTCCACCAGAACAGGACATTCACACTCTTTCCGCGCATAAATCATCAGACATCCTTGCATTCCCTTGGATTCGCTTGTGGCTTGAGAAGGATACTGCATCGCGACATCAAGGCTGTTTCTTCATGCAGTCAAACGCTTGGTTTCAGCTGCCGCTGGATGTGCCATGCGGGTGAATGCACTTGAGACCATGAACGTGTTCCTGAAGACCAACGATGACGTCCGTTTGGGGGACCTCGGTGCAGCCAGCTCAGACTAGGCATGCAGTTCATTAGATCCACCAGACATTGTGATATCAGTGTGTGCAGTGCGGGCTTTGCTTCGCATTTCCACCTGTCCCCTAAATCGTGAACTTGTAGCCTGGTACAGCCATTCCGGGTGTGAAGTGGAAAGAGCATCCGACCTGCCGGAAAGTTTGCTGGCATATGGCACGAGTGAACTTGTTGTGGCTTGGGTTCGTGGAGTTGTGGCTTTGCATTGGGTTTAGTATAATGACTCTGAATGAAGCGTGAGGCCGGTCAGCAGTTACGCCTAACATAGCAGACTAAGGAAGCATGCTTTGTGCGGTTTGTGCAAGGTAGCACGTGTGCTCAGCAACACCAGCTTCGCACACACGTTCGCCTGGTGCCAAGTGTCTAAGAGGGTGGTTCTTGCAGTGTGTCTCGCTGCTGCCCTTAAGAGCAGAAGCTCGGAGGGTTTCAAAAAGTTCAGGATATGTCGGTGGAGCGATAAACCGAGCAGCTCCTTTCCTGATTTGCCTTTGCAGCACCGGCTTCGGCGGAACGCCGTAGCAGATGCACAGCACCTTCAGGTCAAGGGTATCTAGTATCCCGCATGTCAAGAGCTTGCGGCAAGACCTGAGACGAACCCTTCAGCTTCTCACTGGAAATATTGGTAGTCTTGCAGGTTGGAACTCCGTACTACCTGTCCCCCGAGATCTGTGAGGAACGGCCATACAACGAGTTAAGTGATGCCGTGGCCTCGATTTGCTGGACTTGACCAGAGGCGTTGCAGGTGCCACGAAGAGAATACAATGCGCTTAGATGGGAAAACATATGCCGGCATATGCATGCATGATATGTTGGATCATATGGACACGACCGACGGCAAGCGGTCAGGGCCGGACGCAGGCCAGAGTTGGCTTGTGGGTTTGATCTGTTGTGCGACTGGGTTGGATTTGGTCATGACTCGCTTGGTTGGTGGTCGCTATTGCTGTTAACGGATGTACTCGGATGCGCAAGCAAGATCTTCCGAGATCTTCTGACATATGTTTGGTAAACAAGCTTTTTGCATAGCCGAGAGACGATGTTTTGATATCGTGCTTAGTTCTTTTGTTGGTTGGCACGGAGTGCAGCATGGATATGCCCTTTCTGAAGTTGCAGTCGCCGAGGTTTGGGCGTTTGGTTGTGTTGTCTATGAGATGTGCACATTAAGGCAGGCTTGCAAAATTTGCAAATCGCCCCTTGATGCTTCGTGCGCTTTGCGTGGATGGTGCAACAGGCATCCCTTTGAAGCCAAGAATCAAGCTGCCTTGCTTATCAAGATCCTTCGAGGACAGCTTCTTGGTGGCGCTTGCAAGCTGATACAGGGGCTGGGATACCAGCAGCAGCTTTAAATTGCTTGAAGAGAACCTCTTACCCAGGTTTTTCACTAGTCCTGCTTTTATTTGCCATCATGATCGAGTCGTGTGTGTGCGTTCTTGGATTCTTTGGCTTGAGCTGCATCTGAGCTGAGGTTTGCTCCCATCGACGCCTCGTACTCGCAGGAATTGCGCGACCTGATCGAGGGGTGCATGCAGCGTGAGTTGGGAGCCACAATTGACATGTGCAGAAGCATGTGGCTGCCGTGCAGCACTCTTGAGATCTCAGGGCATTAGAACCATTGCTCCAGGCTGCCAAAGCGCACCAAGCTCTCAACCATGTTTTCCAGACCGGTTGTTCAGTACGAGCCTAAATGCATACCCACCTTCCTGCAACACACGACCTGACGTTTACGTGGCCGATTCTATATGCTTCCAGAAATGCGAAGGTCCTGGGCTACGCACCTCGCGATCTCGCTGGTGTCCTGGCTGGGCATGCCTTGAAGATCTCTCGTTTGCCTGCGGTGTTGATAGGAAGCCGAAGCTGACAGCGCTCCTCTCAAAATACATCGGAGGCTCCGCTCGTCAGCTTTTTGAGCAATTTGCAGCAGTGTCCAGCCGAGTCGAGCAGAGTCAGTGCGGAATGCCGAAGGCTGCCCCCTCAGGCGCCATCAAGAGCTGGAGACTCGGAGAGACTCGGAGAGACTCGGAGAGACTCGGAGAGACTCGGAGAGACTCGGAGTCCCACCCCAAACTGTTCCCTCGTGCTCAGCTCTAGCATCTCTAGCTCAGCGTAGCTCGGAGAGCTGAAGCGAGTGGAAAATGGGGTCGCAGGCAGCGCGCTCTACAAAGGGCATCCCGCGCACCCGAGCCATGGTCTCAGTGCTGTGTCGTACAATGTCGTACATCATACGAGTCATACTGTATGACAAGAGAGATGAAAAGATGGACTGAATGGACCGAAATATACCGAAATGCTTTCACGTGCTAGAAAATTTGCGGTAGTACATAGAGCTGCACAGCCGCAGGGACATGTGACGGTAGAGAGGCGCAAGTGACGATGCGACTTCGCACGGTTGCAAGTTTGCGGTAGTTTGTGCAGTTTGTCATGTACCGTCTGCGCAATTCCCAGGTCCGATTAGACCCGCGCGCCGGGGGCCGTCGTGAGGCCGGCTGCGGAGCCAGCTGCGGAGCCAGCTGCAGAGTTAGCTATAGAGTTAGCTGCGTAGCCGTGGCCAGGAGATAAAGGAAACGCTGGTGGCGCGTTCTGGCACGCTTAATGCTTGTGTAAGGTGTTCGTTAAGATGCTTGAAATGCCCGAGAGCGGGAGGACTGACAGGATTTCTCGTTGCATTCCGGTGCCGTATACGGGAAGCCATATACAGGGTACGGAGCCTCCAAGTCCAAGTCTGAGGAGAGCTTGAGAAAAGAAATCTGGGGGCCTCTCAGGCTTGATTGCTTTGCCAGGCTCCAAAGACCCGAGCCGAGACAAGGAGACACAACACAAAAGCTTTTCTGCTCGGGGGCTCTTGAGACAAGGGCGTCTAACGTGAGGGCGGGCCTCATGGGGCCTCGCATGGCAGAAGCTGAGTATGCCAGAATAAGCTGAGTATACGCTGAGAATAAGCTCTTCGTTGTGTTCATTGCCTTCATCTAAGCAGCATGGCCAGGACACAGGCAGCTAAAGGCCCGTTGGAAAGATTTGCTACGTCTGGCTATGCATTGCCATGCGTATGCCATGCCGTTGTGCCATGACCCCACTCCTTGAGCGCAGGCCTGTATGATGAAGGAAGAGCAAAGCAAGCGCGCGACTGCGAGCAGGTGTGCATCTCTTGGGAAAGCTGTCGCGACCTGTCAGCGAAGAGCAAATGCGCAGGCCCGTCTAAAGGCAGAAGTTGCCGAACTTCCCGACGTGGTTGTTGCCACATCCCGAACAAGGCCTTGCACATGCTTGCACGGTTGCACGGTTGTGCTGCAAACCAGTTGTGAACCCGGATTAGCACAACTCTTTAGCACTAGGTCGCTAGACAGCATGCAGCATGCATTCAAGGATGTTAACATTTGTGTGTATGCCCGAGTCGGAACGTCCCATCTGTCCAGCTGGCGCCTGAGAGCCACGGCACACGTGTGGCCACGTATGATGTCATTGCATGCAATGCATGCTTTTCCTCTGAGGCAGCTGTTAAAGATGGACGATTCACCTGTCAAACGCCTCCTGCAGAGGACAACACTGCACTCAACATAACTGGCTGATTCAGAGCCCTAACTTCTCCTCACATCAATTGTAGTCCGGTGCAGGAATGGTGGCAGGCTGACACAGGCGCTCTGTCGAATGTAACTGTACATTGTGCCCGCATTGCTCGGCACTGCCATCTTGTGCCCTCTTCGGCCTTTACTTGAAAGCATGATAAGCATGAGACCGAGCTTGAAGGCCGCATTGGAAGAGGCAGATCCTGAGCCCATTGAGGAGGTGGAGCAGTGGTTGTGCAATCCAGGGGCGCGGCGCATCAGGCACATGCATGTGCTTGTGACAGGTGACGATTCGCCCTGAAGTTGCAGCAGATCGACAGGCAGATAAACGAGTAGCTTGACCTTCATGCTAGATTTGCGGCAAGAACCAAACCGCCTGTGAACCCTCGATGCAACTTCAGGAGGTTTCCGAGGGTGGACTGGAGGATCTGGCCGCTTGACTGATGTTGATGTTGCAACTGCAGCTGCGGCTCACTGGTTATACCCACCGACGCCACGTTCGCACGCAGAACTGCTCTCTTCAGCCCCTTGCAGAAATGTCGGCATGCGCAGTTCTTCCTGTACTTCTCACGACATGCACATGCAAAATCACTCGGGGCCACCAGTGTTCAGGGTAAACATCAGTCATGGCATGAAGAAGCAGCTTCCTGTTTTTTTCATGACATGCACGTGCACAATCCCTCGGGACCAGCAGTGTTCAGGGCAAAGACCACTTTCTGAGCAGTCCAGCCATGGAACCTTTGCTCCTTGCAGCTGTTCCTCAACTGGCAGACCCGGAGTTTCGTGCACTCAGCTCCGGGCCATGCAGGCCTACTCCAACGACACCGTGTGGTCACCTGCAAAGCAAACTGTAAAGGTTCTTGCAACAGATAATATCTGCGAGAGCGTCATTTCGCATGGAAAACGGCAGCTCCGGCGCATGAATCTGCTTGGCCGCAGCTCGCCACGAATGTTTCACATAGATGTGCTTGCCTCTCGAAGACTCCATCGGAGCCCCGGATTCTGTACAGTTCTCTCGTCTTTGTCGACTTACCACAATGCTCGGGCTGGACAGCTTGGATGTCTCCCACAAGACTTTGGTCTGCCTGCGAAGGACAGCTCGTGGCTTTAAGAAAAGGATCGCCAGCCGCTCACACTTACATGTTTCCATGTCCCCAAACCTTGCCATGTTCAGGGATGCACGCACGCGCGCGAACGCGTGGTCGGCGCGTGTAGTTACAAGTCCAATGCAGGAGTAATGCAGGATCGATATGCTTTCTGTAGACCCCCATTTCCGTTCGCGGGCTGTTTGTTTTAAAACGCGTCTTCCAGAATCTCAAAGGTTCTGTTCGACCTGGCATACCTTGCAGATGGGTTTTTGAGCCAAACTCTCCCAATGTTAATGTGAGCTCAGCTGCTCGAGGATGGATGTGCTGAGATTGAGGAGGAGCTCGTGTCCGAGCCGGACGGCGCCGGGCTCATGCCGAGCTCTATATTAGGAGCTTGAGGGCATGCATACCAAGGTGATGCTGAAATAACGCACCAAAGTGTCTTCGAGGCCTGCCATTGCCCTGACAGTCTTGCCCGTGTTGAACTGTTGCAGCCCTTCTTCAACCTTTGTGGCTTGTTTCGGGTGCTGGGCTGATTCCCGGACGGTCATAGCAAAGCAGGTTGCATCAGGCTCCACAAAAACAAGTGGGTCGAACCTGGCGCAGTTCCAGGCGATCTTGAGTGTTTGGGCATCGTTGCCAGGACTCGCTTCTCTACACCGGCACATCCCTGGGTGACACGGTGGACGGCACTTAGCTTACGACTACGATGTCCTTGGGAGTTGGAGGTTCAAAAGTGTGGCAACCGCGACTCGGGATCGTGAAGCGGATAGCCTTTCATGATTCGTGCACGCCGCCAGTCCAACGCGTTCCCTGCCGTGTGTACCTCGACACGAGAGTGTTGCTTTCAAGGTCGAATGGAAGCAGAATGGAGTGTCGATGAGGCATCCTCCTCAAGCATGACTAGCTGCCAGTGGAAGTGGTGTGGTCTGTCATTGTCAAGTCCATAAAGTGTTGCTTGAGCCTAGGCTTCCTGCAAATTTGCGTGGGTTTGTGGAGCCTCTGCTGCGTCGCGTGACAGTGTGACAAGGAGCCGTTTGCTCTTACGGCGACACTGGACGATGGGCTCCTTTGCGATTCCTGTGATCGGCGCTTTCTTGAGCCGTCTGGAAGCCAGGCTGGTTGGCCCACAGCACATGTTTTTGGTAAGACGCACTCTCGCGCGCCCTGCGTTCCTCGGGGTTTGGGGGGGGGAAGGGGGGGCCTTGGGAACGTCCATTCTTGCTAGCGTCCATGTCTGTCGGCATCCATCTCGCGCTGTGGTTTCATTCAGCACCCACTTTATGTGCAGGGGTTTCCCATGACAATGTCAAGCACAGTTCCGAAGTAGCTTGAACCCTAAATCCTGAACTCTTGACCCTGAACCCTGAACCCTTAGCCTTCACCCTAAGCCCTCAACCCTTGCCACTGAACTCTTAACCCTCAACCCAAAACCCTTAACCCTACATCCTGCATCCTCTGCCCTTTTCAGTTCCTGCTAACTGTTGGCATTCCGCCTGGTGCCGACGTCTTCAGCAAATGCCCACTGACCCTGAAACCGAAGAGACGGCAGCCAAAAGGTTGCAGCTTTCGGGTGTTGGCCTTTTCTTTTAGGGTCTTTGCTTTGGTTACGAATTCTGAGGTTTGGGGCCCGTGCAAGCCCCAAGAAGTACCCTGAAAAACACTGAGGTTTAGGGGCCCGGCACATGCAAGCCCCAAGAAGTACCCTGAAAAATACTGAGGTTTGGGGCCCGACCCATGCAAGCGCCAAGAAATACCCTGAAAAATAAGCGTAAAAAGTACTGTACACAAATTTTGTGTTTTCGTGACTTTGGAAAGTAGGCTCCCGCCGGCGCGAAACACTCAAAATCGATAAACTGCGCCCTCCCGTCGAGGAATCTGTGCTGTTTCTTCCTGGCTCCCAAAACCGGATTGAGTCCAACACCTAGGTTTTTTGCACATTTGACCTTGAGCAAGCCCCAATGCATGCCAAAAAGCGCAGGGCACACCAGAATGCGTGTTGCCATGTTTTTGTATTCTGCCGAGCGACAGTGGCAATACCGCAAGTGAATCTCGGTTGCTCAATACACAGAGCTGCCCTGTGTGGTTTCAATATGACAAGTACCCGTCTTGATATTGTGAAGATAATTAAATATAAATATGAATATGAATATAAATATAAATAGAATTAAAGGACCGGATCACCCCACATGCAAAGTTTTCCATTCAGAAAGAGTGTTTTCAAGCGCCCAGATATCCGTTACCATGCTATTTGCGGTGTTTTTCAAGCGCCCAGATGTCCGTTACCATGCTATTTGCGGTGTTTTCAAGCGCCCAGATGTCCGTTACCATGCTACTTGCGGTGTTTTCGAGCGCCCAGACGTCCGTCAGAGTGTTTTCAAGCGCCCAGATGTCCATTACCATGCTATTTGCGGTGTTTTTCAAGCGCCCAGATGTCCGTTACCATGCTATTTGCGGTGTTTTTCAAGCGCCCAGATGTCCGTTACCATGCTATTTGCGGTGTTTTCAAGCGCCCAGATGTCCGTTACCATGCTACTTGCGGTGTTTTCGAGCGCCCAGACGTCCGTCACCGTGCTATTTGCGGTGTTTTCAAGCGCCCAGATGTCTGTTACCATGCTATTTGCGGTGTTTTTCAAACGCCCAGATGTCCGTTGCCATGCTATTTGCGGTGTTTTCAAGCGCCCACATGTCCGTTACCGTGATATTTGCAGTGTTTTCATGCGCCCAGATGTCCGTTACCATGCTATTTTGTCCGTTACCATGCTATTTGCGGTGTTTTCATGCGCCCAGATGTCCGTTACCATGCTATGTGCGGTGTCTTCAAACGCCCAGGGCGTCCGCGGCGTACTACGTCTGTACTACAAAAAGTCAACTTTCCAGCCACAGAAGCTCCGCGTGTCCGCGGCGTACTATGTTTGTACTAGAAAAGTCGACTTTCCAGCCACGGAAGCTCCGGATGTTCCCAGCGTACTACTTGGAGGGTCGGTGCAGAGCGCGCGCGCGCGGCAAGGATCCAGGGCCCCCAAGTACCGCGCCTGCCAGCACAAACGACGCCTGTGTCGCGCCTGCCAACGTTTGGCGAGCCCCCCAGCGCGCGCGCGGCAAAGGTCCAGGGCCCCTGAGTACCGCGCCTGCCAGCACAAACGACGCCTGTGTCGCGCCTGCCAGCGTTTGGCGAGCCCCCCAGCGCGCGCTCGGCAAAGGTCCAGGGCCGCTAAGTACCGCGCCTGCCAGCACAACAAACGACGCCTGTGTCGCGCCTGCCAGCGTTTGGCGAGCCCCCCAGCGCGCGCTCGGCAAGGGTCCAGGGCCTCCAAGTACCGCGCCTGTCAGCACAAACGACGCCTGTGTCGCGCCTGCCAGCATTTGGCGAGCCCCCCAGCGCGCGCTCGGCAAGGGTCCAGGGCCTCCAAGTACCGCGCCTGTCAGCACAAACGACGCATGTATCGCGCCTGCCAGCGTTTGGCGAGCCCCCCAGCGCGCGCGCGGCAAAGGTCCAGGGCCTCTAAGTACCGCGCCTGCCAGCACAAACGACGCATGTGTCGCGCCTGCCAGCGTTTGGCGAGCCCCCCAGCGCGCGCTCGGCAAGGGTCCAGGGCCTCTAAGTACCGCGCCTGCCAGCACAAACGACGCCTGTGTCGCGCCTGCCAACGTTTCGCGAGCCTCCCAGCGCGCGCGCGGCAAGGGTCCAGGGCCTCTAAGTACCGCGCCTGCCAGCACAAACGACGCCTGTGTCGCGCCTGCCAGCGTTTGGCGAGCCCCCCAGCGCGCGCTCGGCAAAGGTCCAGGGCCGCTAAGTACCGCGCCTGCCAGCACAACAAACGACGCCTGTGTCGCGCCTGCCACCGTTTGGCGAGCCCCCCAGCGCGCGCGCGCGGCAAAGGTCCAGGGGCCCTAAGTACCGCGCCTGCCAGCACAAACGACGCCTGTGTCGCGCCTGCCAGCGTTTGGCGAGCCCCCCAGCGCGCGCTCGGCAAGGGTCCAGGGCCTCCAAGTACCGCGCCTGTCAGCGCAAACGACGCATGTGTCCCGCCTGCCAGCGTTTGGCGAGCCCCCCAGCACGCGCTCGGCAAGGGTCCAGGGCCTCCAAGTACCGCGCCTGTCAGCACAAACGACGCATGTATCGCGCCTGCCAGCGTTTGGCGAGCCCACCAGCGCGCGCGCGGCAAAGGTCCAGGGCCTCTAAGTACCGCGCCTGCCAGCACAAACGACGCATGTGTCGCGCCTGCCAGCGTTTGGCGAGCCCCCCAGCGCGCGCTCGGCAAGGGTCCAGGGCCCCTAAGGACCGCGGCTGCCAGCACAAACGACGCCTGTGTCGCGCCTGCCAACGTTTCGCGAGCCCCCCAGCGCGCGCGCGGCAAGGGTCCAGGGCCCCTAAGTACCGCGCCTGCCAGCACAAACGACGCCTGTGTCGCGCCTGCCAACGTTTGGCGAGCCCCCCAGCGCGCGCGCGGCAAAGGTCCAGGGCCTCTAAGTACCGCGCCTGCCAGCACAAACGACGCCTGTGTCGCGCCTGCCAGCGTTTGGCGAGCCCCCAGCGCGCGCGCGGCAAAGGTCCAGGGCCTCTAAGTACCGCGCCTGCCAGCACAAACGACGCATGTGTCGCGCCTGCCAACGTTTCGCGAGCCCCCCAGCGCGCGCGCGGCAAGGGTCCAGGGCCTCTAAGTACCGCGCCTGCCAGCACAAACGACGCATGTGTCGCGCCTGCCAGCGTTTCGCGATCCCCCCAGCGCGCGCGCGGCAAGGGTCCAGGGCCCCTAAGTACCGCGCCTGCCAGCACAAACGACGCCTGTGTCGCGCCTGCCAACGTTTCGCGAGCCCCCCAGCGCGCGCGCGGCAAAGGTCCAGGGCCCCTATAAGTACCGCGCCTGCCAGCGCAAACGACGCCTGTGTCGCGCCTGCCAACGTTTGGCGAGCCCCCCAGCGCGCGCGCGGCAAAGGTCCAGGGCCTCTAAGTACCGCGCCTGCCAGCACAAACGACGCCTGTGTCGCGCCTGCCAACGTTTCGCGAGCCCCCCAGCGCGCGCGCGGCAAGGGTCCAGGGCCCCTAAGTACCGCGCCTGCCAGCACAAAGGACGCATGTGTCGCGCCTGCCAACGTTTCGCGAGCCCCCCAGCGCGCGCGCGGCAAAGGTCCAGGGGCCCTAAGTACCGCGCCTGCCAGCACAAACGACGCCTGTGTCGCGCCTGCCAGCGTTTGGCGAGCCCCCCAGCGCGCGCGCGGCAAGAGTCCAGGGCCCCTAAGTACCGCGCTTGCCAGCACAAACGACGCATGTGTCGCGCCTGCCAGCGTTTGGCGAGCCCCCCAGCGCGCGCGCGGCAAGAGTCCAGGGCCCCTAAGCAACGCGCCTGCCAGCAGAAACGACGCCTGTGTCGCGCCTGCCAACGTTTCCCTCGCCCCCGCGGCAAAGGTCCGGGGCCCCTAAGTACCGCGGTGCGCGATCGTGATGTGACGTCATGTGCGTGATGGTACGTCATGTGCGTGATTTGATTTGATGCGTGACACCGCGTCATGTCCGTGATGTGATGCGTGATGGTACGTCATGTGCGTGATGGTACGTCATGTGCGTGATGTGATTTGATGCGTGACACCGCGTTGATGCGTGACACCGCGTCATGTGCGTGATGTGATGCGTGATGTGCGTGATCGTGATGTGATGCATGCGACATGAGGAGGACGGGCAGGAAGAGGAAGAGGAGGACGGGGAGGAGGAGGAGGGAGGAGGAGGGAGGAGGAGGAGAAGGAGGAGGGAGGAGGAGGAGGCGGGACAGCCCCAAAAGTAAGAACCCCACACAAAGATGTGGGGAAATAGAAATAGAAACAGAAATATAAATATAAATATAAAAATAAATATAAATCTAAATATAAATTTAAATATAAATATGAATATGAATATGAATATGAATATGAATATGCATATAAATATAAATATAAATATAAATATAAATATAAATATAAATATAAATATAAATATAAATATAAATATAAATAAATATAAATATAAATATATATATATATATATATATATATATATATTTGTATACATATATATATATATATGCGTATGCATGAATGTATGTACGTATGTATGTATGTTTTTTTTTGCAATCCTCTCACCTCTCCCCTACCCCCTCACACGGTGGGGCGTGGAGTTAGGCCCGAGGACCCAGGATCACAAATCTACCTGGAAATAGGTTACAGTTCTGATTCCATTTTTCAGGCAGATGGTATCTCCGAGCACGCCGATCCCGCTGATCCAGCGCTGCCAGCTACAATTGAGGAGGCCCTATACTGATGCACATTTCGATTCAACTGGTGTTCCAAGCGAACCTTGTGTTGAACAAGTGCCCACTGGAACCCAGAACTGAAGCAAACCAAAGCCCCCAAAACCTGCCTAAAACCACCCTACTAGAAGCACTCGAAACCTGAAGTCGAGGTTCATGATCAGGCTTCTGGATCAAGGGCTGCTGTTGTGTTTTTTCCCAAGTGCTCTTGATCCGCACCTGGGAGCACCGACGGTGCTGATGGCATTTTGCATGCCCAGGTGTTTTGAATGGTGACCTCAATGGTGTAATGTTGAAACGGATGATGCTGGTGCTGATGATATGTGCTCCTGTGCGCCGCCGTCGTTGACTCACAGAGCCAAAGAACGACATCGCGTTCTCCTTGTCTCTGAGTCGGCTCAGCTGTGTACAAGAGCACTGTTCCGGTTTGCCACGACATCGGCAGCAGCATCGGCGGCAGCATCGGCAGCAGCATCGCCAGCAGCATCGCCAGCAGCAGTAGCTGCAGCAACCATGTAGGGTCTTCAAGCCCTTGAGTGCCTGCCAGCGCACGTAAAAAGTTCACAGGCGCATGATGCCTTCGGGGTTTCCGCTAACCTTCAAGAAGGTTTCACATCGCTGCATGTTTTGCGGCGTCCGATGCCCTATATGGCCAACGACGACCGCCAAAGAATGGGACACTGGAGGTCAACATCCGGGCTGTGTGTAACTGACAGGAAGGGCTATATGGGGGGGAGTTTGGGAGGGGGGGGCGGGGCGGGGGTGGGGTGATGACTTCACTTCCAGCTGTGAAAAGGTTCGTGATTCAGGATTTCGGGAGTTCTCATGCTTCTCTGAGCTGCACTAGCCCAGACCGAAGTTTGGCCCAGCCAGGAGCCAGAGACCCTACCGGACTGCGGGCCTTTGTGGCATAGAGAGCAAGCTGGACCTGGCCGACCAGAAGCCGAGCTTGCGAGACTTACGTCGCAAATCCAACGATTGCGCCCCATCGCGTCATCATGTTGTATCATGTCATCGTCGCTTCATCGAGATTTTTTCAGTTCGGGTCGGGTCGAAGAGGAGGAGTCTTACGACAACAGGTACTCAGGTGTGGTCAGAGACCTGGACGCTGGTGCTCGTGCAGTTTGGGATGAGCTGTATGCACTCTTCCAGGACATCCCGGCACTGCAGCTTCACATGCTTCAGAAATCGTCACTAGCAAAGAGATTGCAAGATTTGTAGCCGCTCTTGTTCACCTGCGTGTTGATGAGCTGCAAAACAAGATAGATTGGCATGACTTGCTTCCCTCCATTCAGCTGACACTCCACCACCATCCAGTCAGGCCAGTAGTAGGAGCGTAATGCCAAGAACCGAAATCCAAAAATCAAGCTCTGTGCACGCTAGCCAAGGTGCTATTTTTCCAAATGTGCAGAAAAGTGCGAAGCTCATGCCGCCCCTGTCTTTCAGTTCATCAGACTTGAATTGTCTGCCCGCCTTCAAGGCGTAAACGTCTGCTTCAAGCACTGGCCGCGATTCGATTCAAGCACAGCAAGCACAGTGATGCAATTTCGCGCGATTCAAACACTGTCGATTCAAGCGCCCGAGCGGCTCAAGCACTTTCGATTCAAGCGCGAATCCTGATTCAACGGCTCACGCAGTGTTAATGAGATGAATCCCAGCGAATTCCGACTCACTGGCGATTTGGGCCCCCCGGCCACCTCAGCTAAACTGTCGACTTTAAAGGTTAGGATTTTCAGGGCTGAGGGTTTATGGCTCAGGGGTTGTAGGGTTTGAGGGGATTCTTACAAGTACGGCTTCAAGGGTTTTCCCGAAAGCATCGCGAAGGGTTCTTCCGTGCAGAGCCCTCTGACCCAACAACATAGAGTGAAGTACATAGAGTGAAGTGCGTAGCGTGAAGTGCATAGAGTGAAGTGCATAGAGTGAAGTGCATAGCGTGAAGTGCATAGAGTGAAGTGCATAGAGTGAAGCGCATAGAGTGAAGTGCATAGAGTGAAGGGCATAGTGTGAAGCGCATAGAGTGACGTGCATAGAGTGAAGTGCATAGAGTGTGCACAGAGTGAAGTGCATAGAGTGAAGTGCATAGTGTGAAGTGCGTAGAGTCAATTGCATAGAGTGAAGTGCATAGAGTGAAGTGCATAGTGTGAAGTGCATAGAGTGAAGTGCATAGTGTGAAGTGCATAGAGTGAAGTGCATGAGTGAATAGACAAAGCTGATAGAAATTAATAGACATTAAGAGATTTACTACCCAGTCTTAGATTTTTTAACTTAAATCCTAATTAAAGTTACTCTTTCTGAGGCGGCCGGCTGGGTTGACATCGCCAATCGGGATCGCAACCCTCTGCGGGTTTCGGCGTGGTCGTGGTGCTAAAACCGTCGTCTTTTTACGTTTCTTTGTGTCCGCGGACAACTCTCTGCGGGTTTCGGCGTGGTCGCAGTGCTATAAGACCATCGTGTTTTTACGTTTCTTTATGCGGACAACCCTCTGCGGGTTTCGGCGTGGTCGCGGTGCTAACACCGTCGTTTTTTTACGTTTCTTTGTGTCCGCGGACAACCCTCTGCGGGTTTCGGCGTGGTCGCAGTGCTAAAACCCTCGTTTGTTTACGTTTCTTTCTGGCCGCGGACAATATATTAAAGCCGAAAAACAACGGTTTTAGCGCAGAGGGTATACCCTCTGCGCTAAAACCGTTGTTTTTCGGCTTTTTTTCCGTGTCCGCGTCAACCCTCTGCGGGTTTTGGCGTTGGCGCGGTGCCAAAACCGTCGTGTTTTTGCGTTTTTTGACATACAAACGTAACCCCTCTGCGGGTTTTCGCGTGGTCGCGGTGCCAAAACCGTCGTGTTTTTTGCGTTTCTTGACATACAAACGTAACCCCTCTGCGGGTGTTCGCATGGTCGCGTTGCTAAAACCGTAGTGTTTTTGCGTTTTTTTTTCGACTTTTGTCGTACAGACGTAGTACGCCGGGGACTTCCGTGGCTGGAAAGTCGACTGTTGTAGTGCAAATGTAGTACGCCGGGGACGCCCGGAGCTACCGTGGCTGGAAAGTCGATTTTTGTAGTACAAATTTAGTACGCCGTGGACGCCCGGAGCTTCAGTGGCTGGAAAGTCGACTTTTGTAGCACAAACGTAGTACGCCGCGGACGCCCGGAGCTTCCGTGGCTGGAAAGTCGACTTTTTTGTAGTACACACGTAGTACGCCGCGGACACCCGGAGCTTCCGTGGCTGGAAAGTCGACTTGTGTAGTACAGACGTAGTACGCCGCGGATACCCGGAGCTTCCGTGGCTGGAAAGTCGACTTTTGTAGCACAAACGTAGTACGCCGCGGACGCCCGGAGCTTCCGTGGCTGGAAAAGCATCGCAAACACCATGGTCCCCGAATTCGCTGGTTCCAAAACCATCGCAAATACCATGGTCCCCGAGTTCGCTGGTTCCAAAACCATCGCAAATACCATCGTCCCCGAATTCGCTGGTTTCAAAACCATCGCAAATACCATGGTCCCCGAATTCGCCGTCCCCGAATTCGCTGGTTCCAAAAACCATCGCGAAAACCACGGTCCCCGAATTCGCTGGTTCCAAAACCATCGCAAATACCATGGTCCCCGAAGTCGCTGGTTTCAACACCGTCGCAAATACCATGGTCCCCGAATTCCTGGGAAATATCGTAGGGCTGGAATGTGAATGCCATGCAGCGGACCGCGAAAAAAGTGATCTCGTTTTGGAGGGAAGGCAACCAGTCCTGCGCTCAGACTCGTCTCTCTGTGGGAAGTGATCAGCGGTTGCTGTCAAATGTAACATGTTTGGGCGATGTCCGATCTGGATGTCATGGGGCGCGAAGACGTCAATGACGGGGAGAAGGCGTCCCGCACTGCGTGTATGTGCTCGTGTTCGTGCGCTGCGTGTCTGTTGTTTTACACTGTTGCTGCGTGTAGGTAGTGTTACGACGTCAAGAAACACGAGAAGGCATCCTGCGCTGTCTGTGTGTGCTGCATGCGTAGAACTGAATGCACGCTTTGACATTTTGCTGTGTTGCTGCGGGAGTCGAAGAAGAAAGCGCTCGCCGACCTCCAGTGTCTTCGCCAGTGCTCCGCCCCGGGCGATCTTGTGGCCTGTGCTGCGAGTCTGAAGGCGCCCGCCTCTCCGCCCTGCAGCAGCAGGCAGTCCTTGACTCTTTGCGGGCTGAACGTGCAGTGTCCGTGGAGTCGGCTCCTCATGGCTGGTCGCAAGACGATGGAAGTGAGGAAGTACGCTTTGGGCAAGTACCGCTGCTTCTCCGCGGGCGAGCAGCTGTTTCTCATCGAGACTCTGGGCAGCGGCTCCACGCAGGGCGCCATGGTGGACATCGCGATGGCTCGCGCTCCATTGAAAGCGCAAGTGCTCGGCGTCATCGTTTTTGCGGGCAGCGTCGAGTTTGAGAATTACGACCACTTCGATGCTCATCGACCGGATACCCTGATCGAGCAGGGTAGCTTCTATGATTGGTGGACGTCGGAGACCAAGACACTGTCAGGTTGGCCACCAGTCTCTTGAGGAGACGCCCTTGAAATTGAAGTGCTCGGGACATTTTTGAACTTCTTGTCCCGCGAATTTTAAAAGTCTTCAGGGCGCAAGCCCGGCGCTGCGCACTGCCTGCTGTCTTGCGAAAGGTTGGATATTTATGTCTTTTCTTTCATGGCTTCGCGTGGATTGGACGTGCGCAGCCGAGTCGGGTGCATACAAGTGAAGTTCTTACAGTTGCTCAAGTGCATTAAGTTGAAAATGCCGACTTCAAGTCCGTTAACTTCAGATGTATTGACTTCCAATGACGTTAATAGAGTTGACCACAAGTGCATGGCATTCAAGTCAACACACTTGAGTGCCACGCAGTTGAAGTGCATACAAGTGCAGTATGCAAATGAGTATGCAACCATATAAGTGCATACAATTGTCCAAGTGCGTACAGTTCGAGTGCATAGAGTGAAGTGCGTAGAGTGAAGTGCATAGAGTCAACACACGGCAAATCGATGCTTTCGGGCCAATCGTCTTCTAGTTAAAGATCAGGCAAAAAACCAGAAACGGGCTTACGAATCCGAAGCTGCGTATCAACAACTCCGAATCAGAAGCTAGCCGGGAATCAGAAACTGCGAATCAGAAACCAGGGCGAATCAGAAACTGCGAGTCAAACAAACCAGATCGAAGCAGAACCTGCGCTTCAGAAAATCAGACGCTGCGCATCCGAAACCTACGCGAATCAGAAATTGCGCGTCATAGACTCGCGAGAATCAGACAGTGCATCAGAAACCGGCGCGAGTCAGAAACTGCGCATCAGGAACTGCGAAGCAGGAACCTGCTGGATGGGGTGGGCGGGGGGGGTGTTAATCGTGTGCAGGTTGCCAGCACGGGACAAACAAAATGACTGAATCGGAAACCAGACCTGGTTCCGAACTCGGAAATGAATCGGTAGCCAGAAAGGCCGAATCAGAAGCCAGGACGGCTGAATCGGAAACCGAAACGGGATAGTCGGAAACAAGGAAACGGATGATTCGGAAGCAGGCTGATTCGGAAACAGGGGAAAAGCTGACTCGGAAAGCGGCAACGGATGCTTCGGGAATCAGTAGCTGGGTAACGGATGCTAGGGAAACCAGCAAACGGATGATTCGGAAACCGGGAAATCCAGCAAATCGAAAAACGGCAAGAGCTGGATTTGCAAAAACATACCCCCAACCCAACCCCTCCCACCCACACCCCTGGCGCACACCCCCGCCCCGGCCCCCGACCCCGCCAGGTGTTTCGTTTAAAGGGACTTAAAGGGTTTTGGGGTTTAGGGGATTTGCACACCAATCAGGTGAGGGTTTTCATGGCGAGGGCTTTTAGGCTTTAGACACCTTCGACGCGTGACCATTCTTAGGGCTTCAATGGTTTTAGGCCAGGGTGTTCAGGGGTGAGTGTTTTCATGGTCGATGATTTGTAGGCTTAAAGGTATTCTTGGCGTGCAGGGCCTAGTGTTTCAAGGGTTCAGGGTTTCAAACATTTTCGGTGCCTTGTTTTTTTTGTTTTCCGGTTACGGCTTGCTTCAGGATTCGCTCGCCAGACCAGTGCGAGATCTGCTGGTGCGCGAATCCGTCGTGTGGGTGCGCGAATATGACGTCTCAGTGCGGGAATCCGCCAGGGCTTGAATCCGCCTTCTCAGTGCGCATCTTGCGTGCGCGAGTCTGCCATCCAGTGCGCGAATCCACCGGTTCACGAATGTACAGCGTCGAATCCGCGTTTTCAGTGCGCGAATCTGTGGGTGCAGTGCGCGAATGGGTCCTTCCAGTGCGCGAATTTCGGTGTCCTACGACCACCTTCAGGACCTGGTTGAATTGTGCCTTTCCACTTACCCACTTGTTTCCCAGAAATTTCGCTTGCCAATTGCGATGTGTTGCAGGCAACTTGGCATGGGGTTTCGGTTGAGCAAGCGTTCCTACTGGCGGTCACAAGGACAAGATGAGTGTGGAGATGACTGACGAGGCATCTGCGACGATGGGTACGGATCACGTGGTGCATGTAGATGTCATATGAGCTGACACATATGTAGACATCACATGAGCTGTCATGAAGGATCAAAGTGAAATCGAAGCATTCATTTTTGAGCACCTGCCTACTGAAAGCGCGGAGCTTACCGGCCTTGGCAGCTCATGCGTCTTGCAGGTGTGTCGCACCACCCTGATGTCGTAAGACAGTCCTACTAGACAGATCGAAGACAAGCCGTGGGAGATTGAAACAGGGTGGCCGCCAAGGCACAGACTTGATATGGAGGGTCTACAAGGTCAAGCTCTTAAGTCGGCAAGATTGCGAACTTTCCTTGGGAGTGAAGTGAGCTCTGAAGTGTACTCTCAGAGAGCGCTTGTTTTGTGTTCTGTAAGGTTCTACATCTGGAGCAAGAACGGGACCGGTGGCAGCGAGTACTCGCAGCGTCCTCCGTGGAAGTCGAGACAAAAAGCACATGAAGCGTGTGCTGTACGTGCCGTACAGCGGAGATGCAAGAGGGGTATGGGTATGGTGCTCTTCATGGTATTTCATTGTACTGGTACTGTATCGGGACCTCAGCCATGCCTTTCAGCACTCCAGTACTGATGCCTGCTGTACTTTCTTTTCTAGCAAGCTTCTTCCGATGGCTTTTCCCATCGTATCCCGCTGCCAGAAGATATGCGTGAGTGCCCATGATGTGACAGTAAAGCGAGACGAGACCTGACGTGGGAGTTGTTCTAAGCCCCCTTCTGTTGTGGCTCCAGTACTGGTGGGCTTGTTTTTCGGAGGCACGTTTCAGGCATGTTTTGCCCAGAGCGCGTAAGCTGCGCAAGTCCGAAGCTTTTCTTGGCCGGCTCCCACGCGGTTCTGGAGGAAGCTGTGCGGGAGGTGAGGGTGGCTTTTGTGGTCCCTTATCATGCAGGCGGCGTCAAGCAGAAACCCACGTGCAGTGCGGAAGTCTGAGCGGAAGGCCTTTTGTGCGCCGACAGACCCAAGCGAAACACACGCAATCAATGCAAAGGAGCCGTCTCAAGTGTTCCGCAAGCTGCGACAGTTTTCCACGTTTCCGGCATGCTCAACGTCAAAATGATCGAGCCAGGCGAACTCGTTGAGGCCACTGGCAACAGCCGCGGGGCAGAATGACCGGGCAGGGCAGAAAGGCAGAATGTGGCTGGCGAATCCCAACATAGCTCCCTCATTCGGGAACTGAAAGAAACTGGAGTCCAGATCAGAAAGTCGGGGCCATACCGAGAGGCGAAGCGGTTAACTCCCAAATGGAATCGAGCTCGAACCAGAGGTATCTGCCCAGAAAAGTTTTCCAAGGTCGCCATGGACAATATTCTCTGCTCTTCACCATTGCCAGGTTGTTTGGAGTGCCACCCTTTCAGCTCATTTTAAGCTGGGTGCATGTTCATGACGGTTGCCTCCGAAGGAGCATACGCGAAGCAATTCAGGGACATCCACTTGAACCGGGGTGTTTTTTCACGCGCCACCATATTCCCCAAAATAGGCGTAGCCCTTAGGTACTCCCAGAAGAGTTCTCCTCATCTAGGAACCCCCCAGTTCCCAAGATAGGGGTAGCCCTTATGTGCTCCCAGAAGAGTCCTCCTCATCCCCCACCCAGAATGGGTACTTTAGGAGCCCCCCCCCCAGAATAGCCGTAAACCTAAACCCTAGACCCTAAACCCTAAACCCTAAACCCGAAACCCTGGACCCTAAACCTTAAACCCTAGACCCTAAACCCTAAACCCTAAACCCCTAACTTCTACCCCTAAACCATGCAACCGTAAGCCCCCCATGCTGCCAAGCATCGCGACAGTCGCTACACGAATAGCTTCTGGGACAACCGGCAAAATTGACAAAGCTGTACTGCGGGAGAACTAACAGACTAGGCACGCATCTCGATCCTGAGACCATTCGAAGATTACATGGCTTACAGCCTTTTGCAGACAGTTTTGAAGTTGTGGAAGAGAGCGACCAGAAGGTAGCTGCCTGCTGCCTTTCTCCCTGCCGAGAAACATACAGCAATCAAAATCAAACACGGAAATGAATCTGTTTCGCCGAAGATGCTTCGACGTGCCACAGTACAACAACGGTAGCACGTGCGATTCCGGGAGAAGCAGGCGATTCCGGGAGAAGCAGGTGCTGAAGCCTGCGTGTGGACAACCTGATGCATACAATCACATCACAACTCTCTAACCGCGACTCAAAGTGGCCTTCGCAACATCACTCGCCCCTGTTCCTACTTGGACATGATGTAAGGAGGGGCTGTTGACATCAAGGAAGCTCATCGCATGCCCATTTCAACTCCACGGGTTGACTCTTTGCTGTGAAATATTCGAAGTTGCCCATTGTTGGCACTGCACTCCTGGCTCAGAGAGAGAGAGAGAGAGAGCGAGCGAGTGAGCGAGCGAGCGAGTGAGAGAGAGAGAGAAGAAGAAGAAGACAGAGTGAGTACGGCGGAACAGTGTCGAGACAACCTAAGTTTAGAATGCAGATCCTGCTGAGTGGAAGCCGTGATTGCATCGTGTCTTGAGCCACATGGTTTGCCCCGTGTGTGATGGATCAGGCAGCGATGCGTTGCTGCTGCCACCATGGAATTTGTTTCTTGTGGGTACGGACAACGCTGTTTTGTGCGAGGTTTTTTGTTGTCGCAGACATGCCCGCTGTGCGAAGATGACGCTGAAGCTGTCATGGACGATCGCCATGTGACCAGGCAGGATTGAAACTGACCGTTGATAGCTGTCATACTCTGTTGAGGATGTCCAAAGTGCAAAAGATTTACCAGAGAAATCGATCTGGCATTTTTTTCCAAAACAGCAACTTGCCAGGACCAACGCGACCGCTGAGTTCTGGTGCGACATTTGTCACAAGGCCAGGCTGCTTATCCTGTTACAAGAAGGTTGCTTGACTGCCAGCCAGTGGAAGGATTTGCAAAGTATGCGATGCTTCGAGCAGCATTGTGCAGGCAAGCTGCTTGGAGCTGCTTCTACAGTATACATGTTGGCCCTTCGTGATGATTGTTTGTCAGATGATGCCATCTGTTCTCACATAGAGGCTCTCACAATGCCAGCCTTGCAAACGGCAAATAGGTGTTGAGGATAGCCGAAGCCTTCGGCGATCAAACTTTGTTCAAGGCAGGATGTAACGTGAGTCGCCTCGGCCACGCTGCAAGGCAGCTGCTGAAATCAAACCAGCCTTCGCAGAGCAAAGGGCGCAGCTAGGAGGCCGGACCGGAAGCGGTCCTTGCTGTTCTGCATGAGTACCTCCTGGAGTCCTTTGCAAGGAAGGCACGAGGCCTTGGTGGTGATTCGAGGCCCGATCGGCCCAAGGGGGGGTCGCTTAGGTGCCCCATGCCAAGGACCTTTTGGTCCACATGTCAGCAATGATGGGTTGACGGCGGGCCGAACACGACCAATGCATGCAGCTCAAGCAGTGGGTCAAGGCACGACCGCAAATGAGTTGCATAAAGGCTTGATCGACAAAACTGATTTTTTCGAAATGTTTGGAAGACCAATCAGGCAGCCGCTCTGTCCCATGGAAGTAAGAGAAATTCAGCTGGAAAGGTGGGATTTCTCAGTGGCCACCCTGCTTTTTTTGTTTGCATAATTGGCTTGTGTCACGTGTCCAAGAACGGAAAGTCCCCAGCGGCTCAAAGAACTCTTGATGCCCTTCATCTCAAATCCAGGTCCCTGATCCGAAACTTTGGGTTCGACGATTTTTGCCATTTTCTAGTTCGTGTTGGTCTATGCACAAACAGGCCGCCGCCACCTCAGCCATGTGGACAAGACCGCCATGAGACCGCAATTACTCCAACTGGATGAAAACAAGTTCTTCGACATGTTAGCAGCTTGGCTGAAGCTCTCGTTCTCCTCGCAGATGCAAATTATTGCAAATTGCACTTGCTCCAGACCGGGCACTCGGCGACGACCGCTTGGCTACGGAAGCGCTCAGCGTGGAGAGCATTGCGCTTTGAGCGACACCAGCAAAAACTCCTCGGAGACAGGCATAGACAGGCGTGGTGCCGGTCCATAGTAGTCCATATCAAGGCTTTCAAGCACGCCAAAGCTGAAAGCCTTGAAAAAAGACATTCCAATGCCAATTGGCTCCAAACCGCTTTCCCAAACAGCCGCGAGATCGAGCGATGTGAGATCGAGCGATGCGAGGTGCAAGTGCCGGGGGACGCGCTACCACAGGGACGTCGCCCCGCAACTTCGATACCGTTGGCAGCGTATGCCAGAGCACGCCTTCCCACTTGCTCGTGCCGCTTCAGCACTTTCTCCATCTTGCTCCCATCCGACCTGCAAGCCCCGGAGCTGTCACGCTTTGACAATCGTTCGGATCCGGCAAGCTCGCCTGAAGCACAGCAAGCGTTCAGGGCAAAAAGGTTGCAGTTCCATCATGTGGTCGGTAAGAAAGAGCACGCTTTGGCAAACTTGGTTGCAGGCCCAAGAGCACGTCGGTGTCGAACCCTGCCATTGCTGCAAGGAGTATTCGCAGGCAGCTGGGCGTTACCAGAGGGTCTCTCCCACATTGCATGCGCAATGCGTCGCTCGAAGGAGGTTGCTTGGCTGGGAATGCTTGTCTGGTCACTTTCGTGACGTTTCCGCCTCTGTCGCGCCACCTGTGTCGTCCCCCAGCACTGACGATCCCGATCTTGCGGAGCGTGTGCGTAACTTGCGGGCAACGATGTCCCGCCTTACCGGGCAACTGGATTTTGCTTCCGGGCCCCAGCGCTTCGACGCCTCGTGTTGGCGCCCTCCGCCCGCACGATAGACTCGAGTCTTGCCGAGACTAGCTGTGACACCCGCTTGCTGCTCGACATCGTCAAGCGCGGGTCGGGTGCGAGCTGGAGTGGACGCGGCGAGGTACTCCCCTGACTCCAAGCGGCCTTGCGCAGCGGCCAAGGCATCAAACGCGCGGAGATTGTCATCCCATGTTTTCAAAGGACGGCCCGGGCTACGTCAATGGCGGTGTGTGGATTTTTGGTTATTCGCCGATCCCAATCAGGCCCGCACGCTGACGGCCATACCCGGAAAAAAATAAAACAAATACCCGGGCCGCCCATCATGCAGGTGGCCCCGCAGGCGATTGCACCTTCCCCTGCCCATCACCGTTCGCCATTGCTTCTCGCCCGTATGCGGCGGAACCGTGGACGCGTACAGCGACCACGCCTTGGCATGGCCTCGCACTGGGTTGTTTGTGCGGTGGGCCAAGGTGGCGGAAAGGGCGTGGGTGCGGGTGGGGCGGGAGGCTGTGGGGCCAAGGCAGGTGGTGCCACAGCACTGGCTGATCCACACGACGGCGAACGGGGTCCCCGCCGAAGATCGGCGCCGGTTGGATGTCATC